AAGATCTCGGACAACATCTACCGAGAGCTGATGAACCTGAATTAGAATATTGATTAATACTGTCTAGTTTAACATTCTCTAAAATAAATGAACCCGCACAAACCCCTCTTCACGAAAAAACATGTATTTTCCTCTCTAGCTTCCCTCCACGGACAAAGTGAATATAGTAATCAATAAATTCACGGAACAATAAAAAATAGAAACTATAAATGTTCGTTGGACAAATCATGTCACAGGGAAACTCATGTACCCAAAATTATGTAGAAGGGGGAATATATGTGTACTCAAACTCTCCCCAGCCGGACTGATGTGAAAAGAATTTGTGTACTTAAAATTATTTGAGCAGGGAATATGTTAGAACTCAAGATATAAAGGGATAAATCTATGTTGTGTACTTAGAAATATTTAGATGGGGAATATATGTGTACTCAAACTCTCCCCAGCCGGACTGATGTGAAAAGAATTTGTGTACTTAAAATTATTTGAGCAGGGAATATGTTAGAACTCAAGATATAAAGCACCCTGGATAAATCTATGTTGTGTACTTAGAAATATTTAGATGGGGAATATATGTGTACTCAAACTCTCCCCAGCGGACTGATGTGAAAAGAATTTGTGTATTTAAAATTATTTGAGCAGGGAATATGTTAGTACTCAAGATATAAAGCTCCCTGGATAAACCTACATTGTGTACTCGGAAATATTTAGATGGGGAATATGTTTGTACTCTAGTTCCCCGACAGTTTTGAAATGAAAACTTAATCAATGTACTTTAAATTATTCAACTAGGGAATATACATGTACTCAGCTGATCCAAAGTGAAAATGAATTATCTCTTCCTTCTTACTCTTACGCTGAATTTCCCCATGAAAGTATTTAGATGGAGATTTTCCCCTGCAATTTGAATTGTTAATCCGTGTACTCAGAAAACATGAAACTTTAGAAGGTTCTTCCTAGACCAGCGATATAATTTTATTGAACTTCAATATTCCCCAAGCTAGAGTAGTTAGATTTTTATATTGTATGAATATTGTCCATAAACTTAAATGTTCTTTTATTTAATCCTCACTTAAACATGAGTTCTGATGATTTTATATTCCCCTAATGTAAAAGAAAAATTCTTTGATCAAATAATGTTTTTATTCAACACAGTGAACTCTGATATTCCCCGGGATTATAGTATCCTCATTAACTAGGTCAGCGCTTTAATTTTGTCTATTTCTAAAGGAAGACAACTTATGATCATCTTGAAGACAATATTCCCCCAGGGGGGATTAAGAAAATTCCCCCTAGTGTTTTGTATAAATAGAGCACTTTTGACAGAGAAGTCAGTTCAATGTTACTACTTGTGAGCTCAATATGGTCTTTTAGGCAGTTCCATTTTATCTTTTGTGAGCTCAATATGGTCTTTAGTCAGTTCAATTTTATCTCCCATACAGTTCAGTAATACTAATAAAGTGAAAGTTACTTAAAGTTAAAATTAAGAAAATTTTGAATTCCAAATGATAGGTAAGTTTAAGTCTTTCTGATCTCACTCTGTTCAAAAGCTCTCTATCTTTAATTATAACCTTGTGTCAACATCTTGTCTAGTGATATAAAATAAATTAAATATTTGTATTTCAAGTGAACTAAATTATCTCGAATATTGATATTTGTGTTTAGATTTTGTCTTGTTGATAAAATAAATTCATAACTCTGAAAACTTCTTTTAATTACTGATATTTGACATAATAAACAAATTAAATCTAATAATAGCTATATCTAAGACAGAGAGATAGAGAGTTTGGATATTGAATAAATTTGAGTTTATTGATTTGGTAAACAGTTATAGAACATTGAAATCTTGAAATTTATATATAGAAATAATTGGGTCAGATAAGATATAATATAATCACACTGGATACCACTGGTACAGGTAGAAGAGTTAAACCTGTGATAAAATCTACTTTTAGCGAAGATATTGCTGAGTTATTCTCCTTTATAGGAGAGAGTTGTCAAGTACATGCTGCCCTTTCCCTCGTCTCTGCATTTATAATAACAGTGACTCCTTTCTATCTAATACGCTTCTGCTTCAGACAGATCAAGAGATCATACTACTGGAGCTGTTCTTATTTCCAATCTCCTCCTAAGCAATAGAGATTAAAATAAGTTGTAGTACTTAAGAGAATAGTCTAAGTAACTACAAGTCTACCCTGAAGAACAATGCATCAGTCCTGCCTCACCACTCTGCAGTTCCAGCCACAAAACCAGATCAGATCCCTTCAAGTTTAGTTTCTTGTTCTCATGTTTTTATCAGAGAGGATGCATCAAACCCTCTGTTGTCTCCGTTATATAGAGGACCATATCTAGTTCTTTCAAGTATCCAAAGTATTTCCTCGTTGAAATTGGTTCCAAGTCTGACACTGTCTCCGTGGATCGGCTTAAACCTGTACTATCAGATCATCCAGTTACTCCTCAGCAGCCTCCCCGACGTGGAAGACCTCCGTCGTCTCCGGCTCCGTTAGCTCCGGCTCCGTCAGCTCCGGCTCCGTTGGCTCCTGCCTCTCCAGAGAGCCCTGGGAATGCAGAAGAAGGTTCGGTTCTCACCTCAACAACTTTCTCCTCTCCCAGTGCGTAGGAACCTGCGAAGAGAAGTCCGGGATAACCATTCAGTGCTTCATCATCTTCATCACCTCGATGCTGGAGGGACCCCTGTGGAGACCCTGGAATATTGTCTTCTTCCCAGAAGCTCTGTAAACCAAACCAAATATATTTACACAGTTTTTTAGATACCATGTTGTAACTGATACAAAAAATATATATTCAGTCCGTTTATATCTTTGTTATTTTGCGTCGCTACAAACAATTAAAATTTTTTTTTGTATTATCTGTACCAAAATAAAATTTTTTTTTAAACAATAAATTAAAAGAAATATTCCAACTCCTATCTAGGTGTGGTGCTTCGCTAATCAGCCAAAGATGGGTATTAACAGGTATATTTATTTATAAGTCTATATATAAACATGTCCATAATTGACTAAATATTTAATAAAAACATTTTTTAATGCTCATTTTGATGCTTTGTCATTGTTACACTATATGTATGCTTTATTTTCCTTGTGTCATTGTGATCCAAAGTTCATTATAAAGCCATTTTTTTTCCATATGAAAAAGCCACATGTCAAACCTGAAAATTTTGAATGTAAAAAGCTTGGCTCTAACTGAAATAGAATACTTGTGAATTTGTTTGTCTTGTTCAGATTTTATAACTTTTGAAGATGTTATTTTAGCTGCACATTGTATGAAGACACTTGCCCTGGAGTCAACTTATGTCATGGGAGGATTTTTAGGATTAGCTTTCAACAATCAATTTAAAGTTTTAGCCTCTAACAAAGGTTAATTAATTTTTTTTCAAAATCAAGAACTTTGAATTTTGAATTGAAAGTTTGCTCAGCTGTGAATAACAGAGACACTGCTCAAATAAGAAGGATTGGCAACATATTTGTTCATGAAAACTTTGTGCCTAATCTATATGAACAGGTATCTTAATTATACTCTTAAGTAGATATGAAGTGTTCATTATTATGAAAAAGAAGACTGAACTGAACAAGTGTTACCTTATCCTAATTTCAACATGTTAGACTTTGTAGATCTTGTATAACCGGCTAAAAACCGAAAGAAATCTTGAATATAAAAATTAATGAACCCATGGGTTTTCCAGCTCTTTTTTTATTGTGAAGTGTGAATTCCTATTCTTTAGACTTCTTAGAATTCTCCCAAAGTACAAGTATTTCCCAGATAGTCAATTAGCTTATTCAAAAATGAAAAATTTATTTCCACCAGTACACTAACATATGATACTTTTTGTGGAAAAGTGAGTTTTGATAAAGAAGTTGGGGAAAATAGATATCTCCGTTTTAGCATTCAAAAGTTTCATTTCCGGACAGTTTTATCTCATTTAGATAATACTGAAACAGTCATAAAACATATTGTAATCTTGCTCTTAAAATATTAGATAAAAATGTTTAGGATATTGCTATGCTGTGGGTGAATGAACCTTTTACTTATTCATCTCTGGTTCTTCCTGTATGCCTTCCTCCTCCTTCAACATTAGCAGGTTGTGTAACCAATATTCCTTGATTGTTCTTTCAGTGTTCCTCCCCCTTCAAAATTACCAGGTTAAGTAACCAATATAATCCCTTATCCTATCCCTTCATTATTAACAGGTTGTGTAACCAATATTCCTTGCTTATTCTTTCTGTCTTCCTTCCCCTTCAATAGTAACAGGTTAAGTAACCAATACTCCTCGCTTGTTCTCCCTGTCTCCTCCCCCTTCATCATTAACAGGTTAGGTGACCAATATTCATTATTTGTCCTTCCTGTCTTCCTGTCTCCCTTTAACATTAATTGGTTAGGTAACCAATATTCCTTGCTTGTTCTTCCTGCCTTCCTCTCCCTTCAACATTGACTGGTTGTATAACCGATATTCCTCCCTTGTCCTTCCTGCCTTCCTCTCCCTGAAACATTAACCGGTTGTATAACCAATATTCCTTGCTTGTTCTTCCTGCCTTCCTCTCCCTTAAACATTAACCTGCTGTATAACCAATATTCCTTGCTTGTTCTTCCTGCCTTCCTCTCCCTTGGACATTAACTGGTTGTATAACCAATATTCCTCCCTTGTCCTTCCTGTCTTCCTCTCCCTTCGACATTAACCAGTTGTATAACCGATATTCCTCCCTTGTCCTTCCTGTCTTCCTCCCCCTTTGACATTAACATAACTTCAAACTGTTATCCTCTGCAGATTATTAAAAAGTACTCTATACAAAAGTTTTGACCAGATTTGGTATCTAATATATAATTCATCTGTCTGTCTTCCCTTCTTTCTTATTCCAACTTCCAGTTAATCTTTTCTTCCTAGTCTTATTCTTGTGCACTCTTTTAGCGTCTTCTCAATTTAATTTTCAGCGTCAGAACAATACAAGTGCATAACTATTTTCATCCAATGCATTGGTTATATGCCACCCCATACACAGAAATCATCAAGTATTTAGTTGTAGACTTAATTTCTTGATCATTATAAGCTGTGAAGCTGAAAATATAAACATAATTAGCATGATATATTTATAAAATGTGATGAATGGTAACGGATCACTGCTTAAAATAGGATTAGGGGGTAAGTATTTAGTGATCTTGATCTCTCATGATCATCTGCAACACGACTACCATTATGTACCATGAAAGCTTGTGATTAAATATTACATGTTTTCAGTTTTAATATTTAAAATTTGCCAATAATATTTTCCTTTAACTTGGCGATTGACAGGATTAAATGGAATGTTCTTGCTTATTTAATCATCCTGCATAGATAGTTCTTGGCTGGATCATAATGGTTCAGTCTTCTTCTTTCAGGCTGTAGTTTATTCTAAAATAATAGTTTAGAGTTTACAATTCTAACTCTTCTTTTCTACCCTTATCTTATTTAAGACTGTTATTCTACCTTTGGTTTATTCTTTTCTACCTTTTCTTATTCTACCTTTTGTTTATTATTTTCTTAATCTTCTTATTCTCACTTTGCATAGTTTAAATTCTATGTTTCCTCATCTTACCTCGTCTTATTATACTTTCCTTAATTCTTCTTTTGATTTAACTTTAAAACCTTTCCAGACTTAGTAGAATATAAGAACAGTTCAGCTACCTTGACGGGTTGGGGTAGGAAATGGGACAATGGACCCCTTTCTGATCAGCTTTTAAAGGTAAACTTCTGGTCAAATTTTGACATTTTGATTAAGAAGGAATCAAATAAAATATTAAAAGAAAATTATTATATTATGCAAAATTTCTATTGAACTGTGAAGTTGATTGGTATTAGTTAAAAGTTGAGATGATATTGCTATAGAGGGTTTTTCTTTTACTAATATATTTATAGATAACTACTTTGCCCATAATAACTTGAACCAGTAGATGAACCTTTCATTCCCAGTTCAACTCTATATTTATAAATTCCCATACCAGGTAGATCTACCAGTAATAAGCAATGATGAATGTATGCGCTGGTATGATAACTCAGGATCCAAACAGCTTATACCAGAATCTACTTTTCTTTGTGCAGGGTAGGTTTACCATATAAAATTCAAATCAACAGATTTATTTATTGTTTTTCCAATCTATATACTTAATCAAAAATTTGTAATTTGCCTTCATACCTAAAATTCAGGCAAGATCTAAACCAGTAGATCCCATATGGACCAGGGCAAGTGGTTTTTTTAATTGTATTATAATTTATAAATTATGCAGGTCATTTTAGTTTGTCTGTAGGTTGATTGTTATAATAATAAAAATAATAAGTGCTTGTTTATTGTTGAAAAATTATTGAAAATATTATGTAATGAGATATGAGAATGGAACTATGGACGCCTGTAGTGGAGACTCTGGTGGGCCTCTTGTTCAGTTCAGAGAAGATCAAAGAGCAGAGGTAACCCGTACACTATGTCTCTGCTAGTGCTTAGGATCCATTTCATTTTGATTGGGATCCAGTCATGGACATTGAACATTTCTTCATGATTTTGATTTTTTTTAAAATAAAAATTTTAAAATTTTTTTTCTTTTTTTTTCTTTATTCAATGAAAGGCTCTAAAATGCTAATCTATTCAGGGATTACTGCGTCCTGATGCAAATTCAAGTTTATTTGAGGGTGTATAGCTTGTAAAAAATGTGAAAAAGTCGTATTTTCAAATAAAAGCGCGCGCTCAGACCTTTTCAAAATTGCATTTTGCCGTTACAATACATATTGGTGAGTTCGCATGCAAAAAATCAATGCCCTACGACAATGCTTAGTTATGTTTGAACACAGTTAAAATTTTCTGGAGAGCAATACGTTTTGTGCCCCCCACCCCTTTTTTATAATCTTCTTAAAAAAGATTGAGATATTGAGATATTGGTTTTGATTGCAAAAACATCTTGCTTTTACAGGTTTTTGTTAATATTTTGCCCTTTTATAGATCCAAATCCGTTGATACGCATATTTTTACAGATCCGTATCCAGGAAGCCAAATTGTTGGGGATCTGGATCCGGATCCTAAGCACTGGTCTCTATGAAGCTTATGGAATATGGATGTTACTATGAAAGGCGCTCTAATATTTGCTCAATTATCATTTGCCTTTCTGCCTTTCTTCATATTGCCCATTTGCTCTTAACCTTCAGAAACGACAACATGGGCCCTATTCAAGAATAAAAAAACAATATCCGCTCAGGGATTTCTGCATTAACATAGCGTTGCATCATTCCGAAGTTCCATGCAATTATTCCACAGATTCTAAAAATTAATTGACAATTTCATTTTTAGGTGATTGGAGTTGTATCCTGGGGCATAGGTTGTGGAGTAAAGGGAAGACCAGGAGTATATACAAGGTACTCTGTTCAATTATACAGACCACTCCATTCAATTATTAAGAGTACTCCATTCAATTATACACACTACTCCATTCAATTAAACAGAGTACTTCATTCAATTATACAGACTACCCCATTATTTTATACAGACTAATCGATTAAATTATACAGACATCTAGTTACACAGAGTGCTCAATGCAATTATACAGACTACTACATTCAATAATACAGAGTACTCCATTTAATTGATACCAAATTACTCCATTCTTTAATACAGAGTCTTCCATTCAATTATATACAGAAAACGATCCATTCGATTATACAGAGTACTACATTCAATTATACAGACTACTCCACTTAATTCTACTGAGTTCTCCATTCAATTATGCTGATTACTCCATTCTTACTTACTTGTTACTTGTAGAATAATCTGCAGAGGGCCTCTAGGTCCATAGCGTAGATGTCGGTATAGTCCTCACGGAACAGTGTGCATCGTCTGATCTGAGCTTCAGATTTAGCCTCGCCTACACTGATCCTGACTGCATAAATAAGATTACAGATTAATTTTTTCAAGTCTTGCCTTGAAAAGTTTAACTGTTCTGGCATCTTTAACGTCTGTTGGAAGATTGTTCCAGAGGTTTATAACTCTATTAGAGAAGAAATTTTTTCTGATATCAGTTCTGGATCTAGTTGCAACAAGGTTTTTACTGTAGGCAGTGTTCCTGGTCAGTCGATTAGCATATTACAGAAGAAATTTTTTCTGATATCAGTTCTGGATCTAGTTTCGACAAGGTTTTTACTGTAGGCAGTGTTCCTGGTCAGTCGATTAGCATTGTCTCCCACAGAGTACTCAATTTTACAGAGTACTCAATTCAATTATGCTGATTACTTCATTCATTAATATAATTAGAGTACTCCATTCAATTATAAAGAGAACTCGACATTAAATTAAACACAGTATTACATTCAATCAAATTGAAGGAACTCCATTCGTTGGTATTTAAGGAATTTTTTAATTTCATAACATTTTTCTTTTCTTCCCTGCCTCAAAAATATTCATACATAATAAAAAATTACTCTTACCAGTAAAAAATCAATTCATTATTAGATTTAAATTGATTTACACTTTAATGGATAGTTATAGTTAGATCATAAATTTTAACGCTGTAAATTAAAAATTAGTTTTATTTTTCTGGAATCGAATTAATGCCTCTTATTATAGGTAATTTAAGTATACAGATTTGTTAACCATTAACTTAAGACCTCTGTGTAATGTCGTCTTCAAATTGAAATCTACTCTCGGAGAAAACCAAACCAAATAATTTCAGCCCCATTCTCTTTGTTCTCTGTAGGACGGAGCCTAAAACACTTTCGTTATTGTGAAATCATTAAAGTTAAATAGGAATATTTTCATATAAAGCATTAGTGAATTTCGTCAAATATTCAACTGTAATTTTTTTTTCAGAAGTTTTAAAAAAACGTATTTCAATACTGATCAACAATAAGTTTCCCCTTTATCATCCCCAAATAAATCGTAAGATTTTTTCTATTATTAATATTTATTATAACATTGTACAAGTAACCATGACCTATAATTTATGTTATTTTTTTAGGAAATAAAGCTTTTGTTATTGATTTTCTTGGAGACGGGGTTACTCTGTTGTGTGTGTATTTTGCGGCCTACCGGGAAAGAATTGTCCGGGGAAAATAAACATCCCCCACCAGAATCCTGACTGGCCTATTACCCTGATTTGTCTAGTGTGTTGCTGTTATCTGTCAACAAGATTGTGATAACCTTTTATGCTGCAAATAAAATTCATTGCAGGGTTTCCAAGTTTGTGAAATGGATACATCAGACCATAGAGGAGAATAAAGATGATTATCCTCGCAGAAAATAAATGTTTTGTGCCGAAAGGTTGGTAAAAATTTCGATTTTGATAAAGATTGTTTCTATTAATTTGAATTGGCTTACAGTGGGAGCCATAAAAGGGTGGAACATGAAGACACCCTAAGTTATGATTTTATGTATTTCAATGAACACGAAAAGCAACAAGTACACTGGCCCTGTTTAGGTTAAATTTTAAGCTTCTGGTAAAAAATTCGCTTTATAACAACATCACAAACACAAAATTACCAAAAAGTCGTCTTCCATTCCACAGTTTTTATGGTTCCTATTGTACAGAATCTTTTGGGTGGATATTAGTCTGGAATTTGTATAGCCTTGAATTTTACAACGTACATTTTATTGAACATTGACTGTAGGTTTTCCTCTGTGGGTCGGTTTACCTGCCAACTTAGTTTGTTTTCCTAGAATTAATCAATTAATCACTAAAATGACATCAACATATTTTGAATAAGGTCATGCGTGAAAAATGTTGCTCTGAACGTGAAAACCCTCTTAAATGACAAAAAACCTTTTTCTCAAATAATCTTAGAGGATTGTAGGGTGATGCAAATCATCTTGTTTGTCTGCGATATTTATTATTAGGCGCATTTGCCGCTGAAACTTATTCTTAAACTCTGTCTGATGAAACACAAATCTGCGAAGTGACTCCTATCAATTTTTTACATGGATCTTATAGAAAGTGTCTTAACTTAACACCGTGGCCGAAGCGCTTGGCCCCTAGCCTGTCCTAGCCGCAGCGCTCGGCCCAGAAAGTGTCTTAGCTAACCTAACCCGTGGCCGCAGCGCTCGGCCCCCTATCCTGTCCTGGCCGCAGCGCTCGGTTCAGAAATTGTCTTAACCTTATAACCTAACCCGAAATAATACAAAATAACTTAAAATTAAAGGTCATGTACAAAATTGATAGGAGGGGGGGGGGTCCAAAAATCGTTCACTAGGACAGACCCCTACGTCGATTAATCGTTCTCATCCCATATTTTTTCCTGAACAGTTCTACTAGAAATAATTTTTTTCTGAAGATTCTTAAAGGTCTTTCTTAAAACAAACATGGATGAAACTCCAAAAAAATGGTGAAAATAGGGAAATCATTATTTTCTGATACTGATGTTTTGTTATCGTCGTTCATCATGCATAACAAATGTTTAAGGATTAATAATTTTTCAAATTCTCGATAGGCTGATGTTTCTGGGAAGGTTTTTGTTGTGACCGGAAGCAATAGTGGGATCGGAAACCAAATTGCCAGGTGAGGAAATCAATTTGGCTGGTGAGGAAATCAATTTGTCAGGTGAGGAAATAAAATTGTCAGGTGAGGAAATCCATTTGCCAGGTGAGAAAATAAAATTAACAAGTGAGGAAATAAAATTGCCAGGTGAGGAAATCGTTTTCCCAGGTGAGGAAATAAAATTAAGGGAGGAAATAAAATTGCCTGGAGAGGAAATCAATTTGCTAGGGGAGAAAATAAAATTACCAGGTGAGGAAATATAATTGCCAGGTGAGGAAATAATATTGCCCGGTGAGGAAATAATATTGCCAGGTGAGGAAATAATATTGCCAGGTGAGGAAATAATATTGCCAGGTGAGGAAATAGAATTGCCAGATGAGGAAATTTTATTTCTAGGTGAGAAAATCAAATTGTCGAGTGAAAAATTAAATTGCCATGCCATTAAATCAAAGTTGCCAGATTTATTTTTATTTATAAAAGCTATTAAAGCTAGGATCCAAAATAGATCAAAGCTAACTTGGATCAAAAAATTTTATGATGTTTGTTTATTTTAGAGAGTTGGCCAAAAGAAAGGGACGAGTATACATGGCTTGTCGAGATCTCAAGTAAGACATAAAGATAAGAAAAATCATAATAATTAAAAAATAGAAATTTTGCTAATCATACTTATGAATAAAATTATTATAATGATTATAATAATAATAATGATATTATTGAAAACAATGCCAATAATATAAATAACAAAATATTTTTAGAAAACCTTATAACAACGATTGAAATGATAATAATGATAAGTACAATTAAGAGAAAAATTATAACAATGGTAATAATGATAATAATTTGATAACAATAGCAGTACAATAATGAGAATAAGATAATAATAATGATAATTATGATAATGTATTTATATCAATGACAATAAATAATGTATTAAATGAAAACAATGATAATAATGATAATATTTAGAAAGTGTGAGGAGGTGAGGGAGGAAATAGTTCTGAAAACAATAAAACAATGATAATAATGATAATATATAGAATGTGTGAGGAGGTGAGGGAGGAAATAGTTCTGAAAACAATGAAAACAATAATAATAATGATAATAATGATAATATTGATAATATTTAGAATGTGTGAGGAGGTGAGGGAGGAAATAGTTCTGAAAACAATGATAATAATGATAATATTTAGAATGTGTGAGGAGGTGAGGGAAGGAATAGTTCTGAAAACAATGAAAACAATGAAAACAATGATAATAATGATAATAATGATAATAATGATAATATTTAGAAAGTTTTAGGAGGTGAGGGAAGGAATAGTTCTGAAAACAATGATAATAATGATAATAATGATAATAATTAGAAAGTGTGAGGAGGCGAGGGAGGAAATAGTTCTTGAATCTAGAAACAAGTTTGTTTACTGTAGACAGTGTGATCTTGCTAGTTTTAGGTAAGTCCGGGGTATATATTTTCTTAACAAATATTTCCCCCATTTTTAGATCAACACTCCCCCCCCCCCCCCCTCCAGATGATGGGTATGTTTTATTTTGGGGAAGTAATACATTTTCGCGTAAAAATACGTGTAAGGTGGAAATTTAATGTTTATGTGAGGAGGAAGAAATCCTTGAACTTTTGACTGTACACTGCGGTAAATTTTTAATATTATTTGTACGAGTGTACACTGTACATCATAACGCCTTTGAAAAACAAACAAACATTTCAGTGAAAATAGTGAAAGTTTTAATGTTTCGGTAATGTTACATGATTACATCGTCCACACGCAATACCCCCCTAGGTCAGAAGTTCATTCTGACCTACTAACTTTCCGACCTACTGCAATATGGGACCTACGTCAGCTGTTTATTTTTGTATTATTTGAGGGTTAGGTTAGGTTTAGTCAATTTCTGGGCCGAGCGCTGTGGCTAGGACAGGCTAGGGGTCGAGCGCCGCGGCTAGGACATGCTATGGGGGCCGGGCGCTGCGGCCACAAGTCCATAGTAGTTGTAAAACCACGTGCTAGTAGGTCGGATGTGTAGTATAGCGGATTTGGCGTAGGTCAGAAGCGGAGCATAGCGAATTTGCGTAGGTCGAAAAATACACCACCAATGTTTCTTAGTTGTTGTAATGTAAATCCGATGACAATCCGAAAATAATCTGGAAAGAAAACCTATTTTAAAAAATCCTGAACAGTTCCACCATGATGGTCTCTCTCTTTCTCTCTTTTTGATGAGATCACAAATATTCCGAAGATAAAAGTAAACTAAACATTTTAGTCCCAGCCAGGGCCTTAACTGATGGGGGGGGGGGTGCAACAGGACCCGTGACCTCCCCACACCCCCCACCCAAAAACTTCCAGGTACACGCCTGGTCTCAGCGCAAATTATTTTATCCCTTTAATTTTCAAATTTACTTTAGTTCAATTCGGAATTTTGTATCTGAGCTGAGTAAGAAGGAAGAGAAGGTTGACGTACTAATAAACAACGCCGGAATAATGAACTGCAGGTTTAATTATATATTTTCTAAACAACAACTAAAATTTAACTTGGAATGAATGTTGAACAAAGTTGAAATTCTAAAATAAAAGAAATATTTAGAAACTTGTAATTTTGAAAAGGGAGACTTTTAATTGAAAAGATATTCTTCTTTTACATGAGCTGTTTTAATAATCCTATTTGGAAATTATATATCAAATGAATAAAAGGTTTTTTTTTTAGAAAAATGTATACTCAGGATGGAATAGGTGTTTAATCAATCAATCAGTTATTTGTTTTTTTATTTATAATTTTTAATTATTTTTAAAGCCTTACGTGATCTTATGTTAAATGTTCTTTATTTTATTTTAATAAATTTATTAATTTTATAATCCCTATATGTTTGCAGCTGGTGTGTTAAAATATTTTATCTAAAAAAAATCGTAGCTTTGCTAACTTTCTTTCCATTTTTAAAGGAACGGCGTAAAAGTAATTTATAGATTGGCTGATTACTAGATTTTTTGTGTGAAATTTCAGGATTATTGATTGATTGATTGATTGATTGATTGATTGATTGATTGATTGATTAAAGAAATGCAGCTGGGAGTCAATCATATGGGACCCTTTTTACTCGCACATCTTTTAAAACCATATTTAAAGGTATATTAATTCCTTCCTTACTTTCTCTTCAATAATCCTTCCCCTTGTACAACCGATTAGTTCAGAGCCTCCTAAATCATATTGAACTATCTCCAGTGCATGACTTGCATATTATCCAAAATGCTATTTTTATATTTTGAAATTCCAGTTAAGCTATTTGCACAATTTAATATGGTTTTTACCTTTTACGATATATTTTATACATTTTTATGATTCAGATTTGTTTTAGGCTGCGGGAAGGAGTCGGGTTGTTTATATGATGAATCTTGATTATAGAAAGGTAGGGTAGACATGTTTATTATTTGCAATATGGTAAATTTAATATTTTCTCTGCCTTATCCTGGAAAAAAGAAATATTTCTCTGTCTGACTGATTAAAGTTTTAAAAATCTATTTAATAGGGTTATTGTTGTTTCAAGGGTGTTAGGTACTTTCCCAAAGGCATTTTCCCAAGGGCGACTTCCCTAGTGACAATCTCCTAAGAGGCAACTTCCCAAAGGTTAGGTTAGACCCTCTGAGGCGCCTCAGGCTGCAAAGGGGGACCAAGCACTGCGGCAAGGATGGGTTGGGGAGCCAGCGCCGCGGCCAGAACAGGCTGAGGGCCGGGCGCATAGGCTAGGACATACTTGTGAAATTTCACATTTGGGAAGTTGCTACTTGGGAAGATACCCGTGGGAAGTTGACAATCGGGAAAAATCCTTTAGGAAAGTCCCTAACATCGTTCCAAGAACCACGCAATTAAACAAAAACGGGGCATGCGCTTTTCACAACAGATTCATAATGCATGACGCACACAGTTTTGCTGGAAACAAAAGGGGGAAGTTGTCAAAAGTAAATACTTTTCAATTTAATTGAGCAGGTTACTTGAAATTTCCGCGACAGCCCCATTTAGTTCTTTATTAAGCTTAAACTCATCCATTTAAAAACCTATTTCTAGATTCTATTTTAATGTTCTAAAATTAAGTGTTTGAAAATATACTTTTATTGGCATCATATCTTAAACTGGAGAGAAGGGAAGGAAAAAGCTGCCCAGTTAGTACTTGTTTTAGTAATATTTTAATATTTTTTTTAGGGCAAAATTAATTTAAGTGATCTTAACGCTGAAAATAATTACGACGCAGCCCAGGCCTTCTGTCAGAGCCAGCTAGGCAAATATTTATTCTAAACTATCATCTATTTAAAGGGACCTTAGACGTAGTTTAAAGTCAATCTACATTTAAAGGGTATTTAAAGGGTAACATGTCTAAATTTACTAAATGGGAACATGTCTAAATTTACATTTAAAATGAAATTAAATGAGATTTATTAAGCCTTAAATACAAAAAAAAATACTTTATATTGTTAAAAGTTAATTTTAAGTTCTCCCTAGTAAAGAAAACAATGAAGACAAAAAGGAAAAAGTGAAATTAGTATTTGAATATGGTTAAATAACTATTCAACGAGGAAGGGAAGGCAAGCGCAAGCCACACCCATTGCGCTTCCTTAGCCGCAACCTTATATTCTCCGGGAAAATATTTTGCGACTTTCTCCTAAATATAAAATTTTTTACATGCCTTCTGATGTTGATCTTCTGACTTCTCTAAAAATGTTTTTGAAGGAAGAGAGATATTTCATTTTTACCAGAAATAACTCCGTTTTGCGTGCAATTCGGTTTATAATTATCTAAATCTATCTATCTGCCTATCTGATATAGATAATTTAAAACGGAATCGCACGAAAAACTTCTTTGGTAAAAAATCGTTTAAAAAATATTACGTTATTTGTGGTAATGATTAAAGTTCTCCTTAAATTCAAAAAACATGTTAAGAGAAGATCTACATTAGGAGACATGTACAAAATATTACATTGTAGGAGGAAATCGAAATAAATCACAGTATTTTAACAAAAATTTAACAACTATTGCCCCAGTGAACCAGAATATTTACTCATATTACCAAGAAAAATATGATTAATATGTTTAGGTTATAATAGATGCCATGACGTCTTTAAAATCTTAAATAAATGCTGCATTTTTCTATAATAAGCATTTCAAAATAAAGATATTTTGCCTGGGGATATAGGGATGCGGCTAAGGAAGCGCTACGGGTGAGTTCGTGGCCGCAATTCTATGTTTGTGAGTAAATTGTAGGATGGCCTTGGAGGCTATACGGGAGCAGATTGCCTTCCCCCCCTCATTCAACGTTTATTGTGGCAATGTTACATCGTCTATACGCAACATCCCTTCTACTGAACTGTTAATTTTTTATTATTTGAAGTTAAAGTACATGAATAAAATAATTGTATTGCAGCGACAATGTTAAGTGTACCTGTACTGGGTGATGAGTGGAGGAAAGAGGGTATTAGTGTGAACGCTGTGTATCCCGGGGTCTGCAGTACAAATATAAAGAGACACATGGGAGTAGATAAAAGTATTACAGGTGAATATTTCAGGAGACATTAGTTCCAAATCAGGGTTATGGCCCATTTCTAACACAGCGGTTTGGAACTAAAGTTCCCCGAATTATTAACACAACAGGGTCGGACTTTTGTCCAGTGATTTTGGATGGGTCAATCTGCCGAATAATCCGGAGATGATTTCAAGGATGCACACAGGGAGGAATGTTTGAGCTGCCAAAAATTCCAGAAGAAATTCTGAGAAGAAGCATTTTTCAAAGTGTCTTCAATATAAACGAGAATTGGTAATCTTTGCAGAAAGCACTAATCTGCTTTTAATCGTTTCTAAAATTACATTGTACACCTAATACCTTGGATTGTTGAGGAACTCTTGGACCTAAAAACTTTTAACTTTTTCATAAATATAATTTTTTCCACAAGGCATTGGGAGTACTAGAGTAAAGAAAATAAGGTTTTTCTAAAGAAGGTTTGGCGGCGGGGGAAGGGGGTAATGGAATTTGTTCCCTAAATATTAACTCTTGCATATTATAGGAAATCTGATTGCAAACCCTCTTCTATGGTTCTTAACAAAGTCTGCTGAAAGAGGGGCACAAACACCGCTTTATGTAGCAACCGATAAAAATTTAGGAATCAATCGATGAATCAAATTAACGAAAAGTACTCTGGGAGCCTTTTTAATTTAAAATATGGTATCGTTCATCAGTTCATCCCCCGGCCCTGCGATACACTTTCCTACCCATAGTTTTAACTATTTTAATTACAAGTTTAGTGAGAAAAAGTGATTTTGAAACACTTGCCAATGTTTTAGTTTATTGGGAAAACACATTTTAAAGTATCAATATGTTTAGTTTTTATTTTATGATTTCAAATTAAGTCGCGAAAATTATGTCTATAACGTTTTTAAAATAATATAAAATTTTTCAGAATTGCTTATATAAACTAATATTTTAGAAGAGAAAAGTTCAAGGGGAAATAGTTAAGCTGAGAGGAAGAATGAACACACATCATTGTTTCTTTTTATAAAAAAATATTTTAAATCAACGGAAAAAATTTTCAGATTTTTTTTTCTCGACTTATTTATCGGGTTATGATTAAGAAAATACAAGCGGAAGTTTATTTTCCAACTTGTCGACTCTGGAAATAGATTCGGTAGCACTAGATAAGGAGCTAGCGACTAAAGTAATGGCAGTCAGGGAACAGAATAAGAAGAAAAATTCATTCTTTTTATAATAATGTTTTACTTATGCTATTTTTCAAAGAACGATTGTAGTTTTTTTTTTACTTTTATAATTTATATTTTTTTTAAATGGATTATAGAAAATGTTAAAATGAGGGCGCTTCACGACCCTCATTCTTTATGCCTTTGAATGTTAAAATAAGATTAAAAAATGAAAATAGAAAATATATTTTTCTATTCTATTGTTGTGCAGTAAATACTGGACTGGTCTTGTTGACAAATCTGAACTAAGAAGAACAGCACAGTGAGTATTGATGACCATCAATCATTCAAAAGAAATTTGAACCAGAAAGAAGAACATCTTCCACACTCTGGGCTTTAGGGTCTGAAACTGAATCAAAAGAAGCCGAAGACAAAATGAATTTTTAACGATAAAGCAAAAATCTGCCTTATTTCATAGTCCATAGCACTAGACAGCTTCATGGGACTAAACTTAATTGTCTCATTTCTGTGTAATGGAGCCTTTTATGACTAAAGTATCCGAAGATGACTTAATTAAATAGGCTGATTGTATTCTTACAGATATAAAGATGCCTGGAAATTTTCAGCCAGCCCGGCTTGATGTCGATCCTTCGATTTTAGGGAGAAATATCAAAAAAAAAAATGTTATTTCAAATTTATTTTTCCCGGATGGAATGTTTTTAAATGAGCCGTAAGTTTTTTAAAATTAGGCTTATGAATCCACTCTTGTTGATTGTGGTAGACATTGACATTCACCCTAAGCATTGCAAAGGGTGTAACCCCATTCTTGTTGATTGTGGTAGACATTCATTAGCAAAGGGTGTGAACCCATTCTTGTTGATTGTGGTAGACATTGACATCCAGTATTAGCAAAGGGTGTGAACCCATTCTCGTAGATAGTGGTAAACATTGACATCAACCATCAGCAAATTTTGTAAACCCATAATTAATTTTTGTAAAAAAAATTGCAAAACTACCTTAGGGTTGCCAATTCCAAAATGTGGTCTGCAATCATAGTAATTACCAGAGATAATAAGAATTGTGTTAAGCTTTAATTTTATTTTTAAAAAATCCAAAATTGTTTAATTCTGAACAAAAGTATTCTTATCGCCAGTATATATGAAGAAAATTTAGAAATACAGAACTAGGGTTATTTCGTTTTGAAAAATATTGCTAAAAATGTCGCAAACTAGTTCAGTCGTCAAAGTCTATTTCCAAATCTTCTCTTAATTGTAAAGGAATTCTACTGTTTCAAGAATATAATTGTAGATAATTGATAATCTTCATGGCTAGATTCTAAACTGTCGTTTGTTACTGATGACAATGAAATGGAATCCATGTTTAAACAAATCTCTACCTCCTCTAAACCGAAGGTGCAGAAACATTTGTTTATTTAAACTATTTTCTTCTCATGTTCAATTCAAAATGTGGATTCTACACAAGGAGAATGGAGTATAGTGGAGAAGGAATAGACCCAGCCCTCCCATACCATTTGAATATACATGCTTTGCAGATAGTACTTCATTTGAATAAGAAATATGCTTTCCTTTTCTATCTAAATGAACAAATACCGCGTACGCCGTACATGTATTCAGAATAGGTTATTGTACACATTTAACAGGGAAAAATAGACTGAATAACGCAGAATAATAACATTTTTCTGGGATGCAAAAATATTTTAAGTACAAACGTATTTTTTACAATATAAAAAATCGGGGTTTTTTATATTATGTGGTATATATTATATTATATTTAAAATTTTAAAGACTCTTTTTCAAATGGAGTACCGTCTGCAAAGCATGTATAATCATTTGATAGGGCGGGTCGGATTCCTTCTCACTTATATTCCATACTCCTTGATTCTATAGCATTTGTTTATACTTCTTAAACATATGCTTTTACTATACAAAAACGGCAACTTAATTTTGAAAAGTTTCATTTTCCACTACCTCTTAGTGTAAAATTGTTAATTATCACTTAAAATCATTTAAATTTAAACTTTCTTCAACTCTGAATGGTTTATGAGTTCGATTTTTTTTATAAGCCTCGTGCTTTTGTGTTATTTAAAGATAAAAGATTAGTTTTCTGCCTCAAGGTTCTATGATCTTAATATAGTCTTAAGACTCGCTCATATAAATAATTACCTTCAGCTGTTTTAACGAACCTTGATGTGGTAAATCTCTCCTCAAAATATCCAATAATTTATGATTTTTTATTCAATCCAGAATTTATTTATTTTTAGATCTCCAGTTTGATACCAGAGGAAGAATATCCAAGCTCAATAGCTTACCCTAAACCTGGTAACTGAATTGTTCAACTAATTTTACCAGCGACAAAAATTACATATCTGTCAAACCCTTTTCGTTACTTGAGTCTTGTCAGCTTCTGAATTCCGTTTTTTGTCTTTCATAAGTGCGTCTTTACAGGAATTTGTGGTTCAGTAGTTTGTCCTTCAGTATTTTGTCTCACATGAGTTTTTTATGCAGAAGTTGGTATTTTAAAGGTTGTATTTCAAAGTTTGTCTTTTAAGGGTTGTCTCTCAAAGTTTGTCTTTTAAGGGTTGTCTCTCAAAGTTTGTCTTTTTAAGGTTGTCTTTCAAAAAATTGTATTTTAAAATTTGTTTTCCAAATTTGTCTTGTGTCGACGACCATTTTTTATAAGTTTTGTTTCCCATAAGTTTGTCCTTATTTTAGGACTTAACAATTTTTTTTCGTTCAGGTTTGTGCATGAAGACTAGAAATGCTGATGGTAAGAAGTTTTTCATTAATCTGTGTGTGCTACAGGAGATCCCACCCCCTACTCCTATATCAGAGCAGGAGTTGGAAAGGTAGGATACAATCCCACTACTGTGATATTAAAGAATTTGAGTTAAAGTTTTGTTTAAAATCTTCGCACCTTTTGCTTTACGTCTAACAGTGATATTTTAATAACCCGAAATAATGTAAATTGATTGATGACTTCAAAGTCATATTAGACCTTAGAAATAGTGTGCGGCATTCAAAATTATAGCAATTTTTTTATGAAACTAAAATAACAGAATAGCCCTCGTGCTGCCATTTCCAAAATGTGATCTGCCAGTTTTGTGCTTTCATAATTACCAGAGATATGAATGATATCGTTCAGAATGAGAAATTTTCATAGTTTTATTTAATAAATTGAAATTTAAACCAAGTTCTTTATATCTCTTTTATTATTAAGAGCACAAAACTGGAAGACAACATAAGGGCTATTTTGCAATTATTTTTCATTTAAAAAATATCAGGTTACCTATATTCTATAATGAATGAATGCCCCTAGCTAATTCTAAGATCGAAGACGACTTTAAAGTCATCAATCCATTCCAGGTTATTTAGAATATAACTGTAGAAGTCTCTTATAATTTGTCCACAAAGTATTTATTATTTTAATTGTCCTAGGGTTATAGCAGATGAGGATTATTCAACACTGTGGAGGGTTCCTATGTCTATTGGAGCACCAAGGATTGTTAAAGACTTTATCTCCAAATTTGTTTAAATCCTGCAAGAACTTCATCCTAAAGTTTCATCAAAAAAAACTTAGTTTTCCTTTAGGTTCAACATGTTTTTTATAGTGAATTCAAGATTAAGTTTTAAAGTTAAAGGGAGTGTTCGCGAAAAATGAAAGGGGGTATAGGCTTAATGCGATAAAAAAGCGCTAATAATCTTACTTCTATCTGTTGCGTCTATAAGGAGTAAATTGTTAAAGACGTCTCATACCGAATAACATGGCGTCCATACAAATTGAGAAAATTGCAACATACGACTTAGACCGTAAAAAAATCAATTTAATTTCAAACCAATCATTCAGATATTACAACCTATAGTCATCGATTATCTTTCGCCACATTTATATATAGTTGATTTTTCATAATTAATTTGATTTTTTTACGGTCTAAGTCGTATGTTCCAACTTCCTCAATTTGTATGGGCGCTACGCTCTTTGGTATGAGACGTCTTTATCAATTTTCTCCTTATAGACGGAACAGATAGAAGTAAGATTAGTATCGATCAAAAGCGCTTTTTTATCGCATCAAGCCTATACCCCCTTTCATTTTTCGCGAACACTCCCTTTAAGTTCCACTGTTCTTTAATCTTTTGCAATAGCAAGTTAATATTGACATACATATAATATTTCAAAAATTGTATTCTGTTGAACAGCTATTTACGTAAAACAATCCTATTTTTATGATTATGCTTTTATCCTTTGACAACCCATGGTTCAGGGAAATTAAAGATAAATCTGGCGTGGAATGTTTAGCGGCCGATGTCGCTATAAACTCCACCTGGTTTCAGGTAAAAACAAATGGTTTCTGTTTCTGGTTTCTTATTTACCACTTATACACAGACTTTCGTGTTTCTAAAATCTATAGAATGAAATAACATTTTATGAAATTAAACTTAAGATAAATCGTATATTTTAGATTTATTTAAAGGCCCTGCAAACGGTGGACAAGGGAAACGACTCAATCTCTGCTTTTAAAAAGTCCAATGAACATAAAACACTGCAATTGTCCAGTGTTCACAGATCTATTTCATTCCATATCTTGATTCAAAAGCTCATGGTAACACTATTTGTTTAAAAACAACATCAAATAAACATAAGATCGCTTAGATGTTGTCTTTCTATTTCACAGTTAGGATTCTCACTCAAGAGAATTTTTCAAATTTATAGTTTCACATAAATATGCAAAAACAGGCGATGTTATTAAATAATTGTTGCCTTGGGCATTAGGCAAAACACATACAGTGCTGCCATTAAATCTGCAATTATGATAATTATAATATAATCCTTGCATTGGCCCAGTTTCAGAATTTAGTTTTTTTACTTGCTCGATATTCTCCAATATTCCTTTTAATCATATAAACTTCAAAATGGATTTTTTTAGGAAACCCTTGTTCCAAGTCTTATCTTCACAACCTTTGTTCTCACAGTTGCGATGGGTAAGTGGGACAAAGTTCTTGATAAGAATTAAATTGCAGATCAGTCTAACAATCAGGGTTTTAAGGTTTTATTTGGGTTCTATTGTTTTTTTTGTGTGTGGCTTTTTTTTCTTTTTTTTTTTTTTAGTTGAAAGAAGTTAAAAATTCGTACTAATTCATAATAATAATTTAGAAAATTAAATACCATATTTTTCATTTTCCGATCGATTGACACCAATTAAAGGAATGTGTCACAAAAATTGAGATCATTGCGAAAATTAAATTTTGTATTAAGATTTTTTTACACCCTGTACGTTTTTTTTTATATCAGAGGGGTTGTGCGATAAGCATGGAGAGACAGCAAGATTGGAACGAGATGGATGGACCATTCTGAAGAATAAGGTAGAGGCCATAAATAAAAATAGTTATAAAGAAGCTTTTTTATATTCATAAAGAGTTTACAGAATTGATATCTCTTCTACTCTCTAGTCCTTAAAAATGGGGTTCTTAATAAAAAGGTTGTAAGGAATATAAATCTTATTGTTTTAAATCATGTTTTAGGGGGGAATTTAAAAAACAAAAACTGAATAAAGGATAAAATGTTTACAGTTTTACTGTTATTTTTTACTTCTACGGAAAGATGGTTGATGGTCTGTTTTTTATTTATTAGAGGAATGTAAAGATTAGAGTAAGCAGATAACTTTTGATATTCTTTATTGATGTCCTCTTTGAGAGATGACATTGCCTGATTTACAACGGTGCCCTGAAAGTTGAAGATTACATCGTTTTTCTGACTTGTAAAATGTTAAATCTGATAATTTTTCTATTACTTCTGATAAGCAAGAAATGCGCAAGTCACTTTTTCAGAGAACCCGCAAATGAAAGCCAACAGTTTAAGGAAACAAAAACATGGATATCTAATTCATACTTGATCAGACAACGCTTTTAAGGGTTCCGTTTTAAGTTTGACATTGCAATCTTGGCATCGATGGTGACTTGAAATTGCGCTTACAGTCCCTGTAAACGCCAAAAAGATTCAGAATTTTAATTTTGATTTTAAATCTTTTAGAAATATATGGGATCTGAAGTTCCTCCACACAGAATACAGAAGCGTGCTAGTGCAGGCATTTCAGATTTAAATACCAAGGTTTTTTTCTATACTTCTTTTATGTGTAGGCAGCTCTAGCTGCTAAACAGGACATTTTAAACATTAAAATATTTGTAACACTCTGTTAATTTAGACTGAAGTTGCAGCCACAAAAGAAGTTGAAGAAGTGAAAAGAGTTTCTGTAACTAAGACTCAAGTACCTCAGTATAAAATAGGTAAAAAACGAAACTTTACAACTTCTTTAATCAAGGTTAACAGTCTTGGATTGTTTTTATTATTAGACATCATAAGTTTAAAAACTGGGAAAGTTTTTTAAGTTTTCATTTGTAGAATATTCTGGAAACTTTTTCAAAGTTTAAATACCTAATATGCTGGCAGTTGCCTAATGAAGTTATGCGCGCTTGCCGCACTGGATTACAAGAAAAAGAGAGATTAGTATATATTTTAGGGTTAGGTTGGGTTAAGACACTTTCTGGGCCGAATTCTGCGGCTAGAAAAGGCTTTCTCTCTGTCTTGTAATTCAAGCGGCATGTGCGTAACTCCTTTGGGCTTCTGTCTTATTGTTTCTAAATTATTTAGAGAAGAACAGTATAGAGAACCCTGAAGAGTTGACCGCAACAGTGTTTCTTCCTGGGATTAAACATATCCGGCATATCAGTTTAGATATAGGTGCAACTTATTCTCATTTATTTCTTTTCCGTGAAACTTATATTAAATATATACTCGGTTTAACAAAAATGTGCCTAAAAATTTATACTTTTTTTCAGGGGAGGACAGATTGATTTTGGAAGTTCGTCAATCCAACATTCTTCTGGATATATTTCTTCCCTATAATCTGAACCCTGATGCTTCAACAGCAGTATTTAATCCATCTTCGTCATTACTCATTCTGTCGTTACCTATTCTCATTTAATTTGTTGTCACTTGAAAGTATTTTTTGATTTGAAATCTTTCACAGACAAGTCTTTTACTCTTTTTTGAGTTGTGCTAAAAAAATAGATTTTTTTATTTCAGACATGATAAACTGAACAAATATGTCTTTCTTTAACTGGAGAAAGTTAAACTTTTTTGACATCTCCAAGGTAAGAAATAAAATTTTTTTGTTGTAATTTAAGAATGTGAATTTTCTAATACATGAAAAAAATTTAATATTTATAAAAAAGCATTGGTTTTCTGTATTGTCCTTCCCAACTAGGATGTGGATGGTGGTGTTGTTAGTAAGAACCTGGGAGAATGTCAGATTTCATGTACTACAAGTGGAAGAGGAAACCTCATAGTTGGGGATACGGGAGGAAACATCTGGGTTTACAACAGGCACTGGGAGTCTACTCGCCTCACACAAAATGAGGGATCTGTAATCCAGCTGGTTCTGCCACGTCAATCGAACTATCTATTTGGACTGAGTGAGATTAAAGGAGTTCGCTGTTTAAAGGTTTGGGATCTGGAAAAGGATTTCGGAAACAATCAAGTTCGAGTTTCCGATCTGTGTTTAGCAGGGAATCCAAGTGATCCTGTTTGTTTGGCTGTCAATGATAACCTCCAGCTGCTGGCTGTTGGGTACCAGAATGGAGCTGTTGTTCTCTACAGAGGAGATTCAACTAAGGAGAAAGGGACCAAACAAAAATTTCTTCTGGAGAAGGGAGATATGGTCTCAGGTCTTAGTTTTATAGTAACCAGCTCTGCTATCCTTCTTTACTTGGCTACCACCAAGGATGTCTTTCTGTTCAATGTTACTGTAAAAGACCGTGAGACCAAGCTTGTCCTTGACAATCTAGGTTGTGAACCAGGTTTGGCTATTTCAACCAGCAATTTCCCAGACGCCCATTTTATAACTGGACAGAGGGATGCCCTTTACTTCTATAATCCTGAGGGCAGAGGGCAATGCTATGTGTTTGAAGGGAAAAAGAAGGTAATGAAATGGTTTAGAGGATATCTAAGTGTTGCTACCGAGGAGGGTAATGGAAAGGACTCCATCACAATATTTGATGTTCAGAATAAAGTGATCTGCTTCTCTGCACCAGTCCGCCATATTTTCTCTCTGTCTGCGGAATGGGGAACTTTACTTCTTATCTCTAGTGATGGGAAGATTATTCAGCTGCAAGAGAAAGATCTTCAGTCAAAGCTTGATCTTCTGTTCAAGAAGAACTTTTATGATGTTGCAGTTAAGGTTGCCCGTGGTCAGAATTTGGATAAGGAGGGCCTTGTTGATATATTTAGACAGTATGGGGACCATTTATATGACAAAGGAGATCACTCTGGGGCAATTGATCAGTATGAAAAGACTATTGGCTGCTTAGAACCCTCATATGTGATCAGAAAGTTTCTTGACACCCAGAAAATCCATAATTTAACAGCTTATCTTCAAGCTTTACATAGAAAAGGAGAAGCTACAGAGGACCACACCACCCTTCTTCTGAACTGCTACACTAAACTAAAGGACAGCAAGAACCTTGATGAGTTTATCATGACCAAGGACCGTGAGGTTGATTTTGATGTTGATATTGCCATCTCTGTGTGCCGGCAAGCAGGCTATTTTAGGCATGCATTAGCTTTAGCAGAGAAGCATAAGAAGCATGATCTTTATCTCAAGATTCAGATTGATGATGAGAAAGATTATGAAAAGGCACTAAACTACATCAGGTACTTGTTGATAATTTTGTAATTTTTTTAATTCCTCATCTTAATTTTACCTTTCATCTTTAGTATCATAAAAAGGCTATTCATTGCTTTGGAAACGAGAGGTTGAAGGGGAGCATTAGCTCTAACTTTATTGAATTACCGTGTCTTTTTCAAGTTGACTGTTAAAAAATGTATAGCTGCTTATTATTACATTCTATAACGGGAACAATGTCAATCTTGCCCTGTACTGGGCCTTCTTTAATGGTTTTTCTAGTTCACGAATTGCCATTATTACGACATTTTATATTTTGTTTTATACAATGTAAACATGGAACAATCTATTAAATATAAATTCTCATGTTCAGTTCCCTGTCCCCTGCACAGGCTGAAGAACAACTTTCCTTGTATGGGAATATTCTGATAGAAAAGCTGCCAAAGCAAACAACTAATATTTTGAAGGATCTTGTCTCTAAAGAATGCCAGCATCCAGAGCTGTTTATTCCTTTCTTTATTAAAACCCGGGAGGGCATGCTTGACTACTTGGAACATGTGGTTCAAGTACGGAAGCTTGTACCACCACAGGTATGAAGTTTACCTTAACTTTTACCTAAGATATTTTCTTAAAATAACTGTTCCAAAATGAATTAAATTAGTTAAATATGATCTCTTCTTGGATTTGACAAGTAAGCAATTACAGGTCAGAACTTTTGGGGCCGAGTATTGTCAATCTTGAATTCTTTATCTTGATATCCATAGTGGTTACTTTGAGACTAAATGCTTGATCTCTAAATTAGAGTTATCCCAGCAGGGTATGACCACCACAGGATATCAAAAAAGACATATTAATCTGTGGGTCAGCATAAGATGGAGGTCCAGAGATTCATAGCACATTAGTTCTAACTTCTGTTAATTTTTATTTTGTTGATTTATTGTATTGTCAGTCCTGATAAATTCTAGCAACGTCTTTTTTAATCATATTACATACATTTTACAAGTGATGATTGATAGTTTTAATTACTGTATATATTTTTTAAGGTTTGGAATACTTTGTTGGAATATAATCTCCATACTTACAAAACTCTAGAAAATCCCGCAGATTTAAGAATCAGAGAGGAAAAGATTATGCAGATTCTAACTAGTGACACTTCAAACTATGATCCGGATCAGGAATGAGTTCAATCTCCCTTTATGAAAACAATTTCATGTATCAATGTTAGTTGGTACTTTGTCAAGTGTTCTTGAGGCCGAATTTAAAGAATTTGAGCGGCTGCTTAAATTTATGCCGCGGCTCAAATATGGTTGGTTTCACTTAAAATTGTACTCAATGTTTCAAGATTTAACCCGGCGCTCAATTGAAACCGGTTTTTGGCGGATTTAAGTCGCGGCTCAAATTCATTAAATTCGGACATTGGCTTTACAAATGAGTTATAATGATTAATTGACTATTTATAGAAATACGGCCTGGGCTGAATGAGTAACTGCTTGATATAATTATCGACAATGTATTTTATGACAAACTGATTGAACTTTAAATGATTGAACTTTGAATTGATTGAATGATTGATGAGTGATAAATACAATAGTTAATTGATTGATTGAATGATATGTCTTCTGTTGTAAGATTGATTATGTTATGAAATAATTGAATATTTTCTTTAATAATTACCTGAATAATTTAATGAATGATTAAACAATTGATTGTATGATTGAATACGAATAGTAGATTGATCTGATGATTGATTTAATTATTAGCTGGTTGATGACTAGTTAACCTTCAGACTGATTGATTCATTGATTGATTTATTGATTGATTCATTGATTCTTTCATTGACTGATTGATTGACTTCTTGGGTTAGGCGCTTGTACTTTGTCAGCTAAATCATTTTTCTCCTGGATTCCTCTACCTCTACCAGAGGTGCGGACTCCATCAAGAGATCCTCCGCTACCACTTCGAGGCCGGCAATTACGAGGCCGGTATTCTTGCTTGTCGGAGGTTTGGACCTCAAAATCCAAACCTTTGGGTGACAGCACTACAGTCAGTAGCATCATCAGGTTCGTAAGTTCTTATATTTTTTATTAAATTTGGTCTCATGGACATTTTTTCTTGCTAGTTACATATTCAGATTTTCCGACTTTTAGAAGGTTCCCAAAAAGTATAAAAGCTTGACATAAGGCGAAATTGTATGCCCTGCTTTTTTACATTTTACAAAATGTTTACTCTGAAAATGATTTTTCCAAATGTTCAGAATCAGATGATTTTGCTTCAAAGTGAGGTTTGTCTGACCATTACAAAGGATGCATTAAGCCATCCCTGCAGAGTGCAGAGTATGATTCGATTTGAGTTGTAACCTCTTCCTTGAAGATTTATGTGGAGCCTTCATTTATTCTTAATTTTTTATGTTTTCAATTATTTTAGGTGTTGAAGTTCCTCAGAATTATTTTAAAGAAGTTCTTGAAAATATTGAGAAGAATCGTCTGCTCTCCCCTCTGCTTGTAGTAACTACCTTGTCTAGTTGTCCAACAGCTAGTCTTGGTGTGGTCAGGGACTATCTCCTACGAACCCTGAGGGTTGAGGAGACCAATATCCAGGAGGATACAAGGATACTCGAACAGTACAGACGGGATACAGAAGCACTTAGAGAAACCATTCATGGACTCAGGTATTAAAATCAAGTCCTGGACCAGAAAATGTGGATTCATTGGATTTAAATCCGGATCCAAAGCATTGGTTACCATTTTTATTATCAATGCTTCATTTTCATTTGACCAATAACAAGAAATTTAATTCTCTATGCGTTTATTTGTAAATGTAAATGTAAAAGGTTATTTGCTCACCATGGATTTATGGTTTAGTTAAACTTAATATTTGGTACATTTAGGTAATTATTTGCATTTTAGAATTTAGATCAAATAATGTTTTCAATTAATGTAATTAAAATACAAAGTTTCATCAGTTTTCTTTTCTATTTATTTAAGAACTGAGGCTGTAGTGTTCCAGTCTACAAAATGTTCAGCTTGCAATACTACTCTAGAGATTCCAACGGTGTACTTCCTTTGTCAGCATGGATATCATCAACATTGCTTCCAGGTATTAGGAAAAATCTATATTTTGATTGTTTTCTTCTTCAGATTTAAAGATTTACACATTAAAAATGTAACCATTTGAAAGATGGAAAAGTTGTGACATATTCTAGATATTCTTGATCATAGTTGCAGCATGTTACAAATATTCTTTGTTCAGTTACAACATGGTTTGAATATTCTTGATTGTAGTTGCTGCACGTTTCAAATATTCTTAATTTGGTACTGCACATTTCCAATATTCTTGATGATAGCTTCAACATGTTTTCAATATTCTTGATTGTAGTTGCTTGATGTTTCCAATATTCTTGATTGTAGTTGTGGCACGTTTCAAATATTCTTGATTTAGTTACAACACGTTTTCAATATTCTTGATTGTAGTTGTGGCACGTTTCAAATATCCTTTGTTTAGTTACAACATGTTTTGTATATTCTTGATTGTAGTTACAACACGTTTTCAATATTCTTGATTGTAGTTGTGGCACGTTTCAAATATTCTTGATTTAGTTACAACACGTTTTCAATATTCTTGATTGTAGTTGCTGCACGTTTTAAATATTCTTTGTTTAGTTACAGCACGTTTTCAATATTCTTGATTGTAGTTTCTGCACGTTTCAAATATTCTTTGTTTAGTTACAGCACGTTTTCAATATTCTTGATTGTAGTTGCTGCACGTTTCAAATATTCTTTGTTTAGTTACAGCACGTTTTCAATATTCTTGATTGTAGTTGCTGCACGTTTCAAATATTCTTTGTTTAGTTACAACATGTTTTGAATACTCTTGATTTAGTTACAACACGTTTTCAATATTCTTGATTGTAGTTGCTGCACGTTTCAAATATTCTTTGTTTAGTTACAACATGTTTTGAATACTCTTGATTTAGTCACAACACGTTTCCACTATTCTTGATTGTAGTTGCTGCACGTTTCAAATATTCTTAATGATAGTTGCAACACCATTCCATTTTTTTTTTGAGTGAGTGGCTGCATATTTCTGATATTCTTGATGATAGTAGCAACATGTTTCTGATACTCTTGATTTTGTTGCAACATGTTTTCATTATTCTTAATTGTATTTGCAGCAGCTGTTTCGGATATTCTTGATTTTGTTGCAACATGTTTCCATTATTTTGTTCTTGATTTTTGCATGCTTCCGTTATTCTTTTGTATTTGCAACATTTTTCTGATTTAGAGTCTGGCAGACAATGAGCAGGAGTGCCCCAAGTGCCAGGAGGAGAATAAGAAAATCCTGGATATCATCAAATCCCAGGATGCAGCCAGGTTCAGAGTGTACTGTAGTTTCCGGGAGAAATGTAAACATAACTCTAACACTAGATTGCTGAGTTTGTTTACATTCCTCCCAGAAACTGCCGTACACTTTTTTGTAAAAACATATTTGGGGGTTCCTTATGTTTATTTTTTATGTGTTGGAAGAAATTGCCAGGGGTAAAATTATTTAAGTTACCTTTAATTACTCTGTTGAATATTAAAGGTCTGTGTTTTGCCTAGATGTTTTGCCTAGGGAACTAATAGCCACAGTTGGTACAATCTTTAGATTTCCTTTCAATATTAGCAATTTATTTGATTGTCAAAACATTATTAATAGTAAATGTTTCAGGGACAACTGGAGGGTTTTCTTTGATTTGCATTTGAAATTTTTTTTATGTTCAGAAACCAGCATGATCAGTTCCACGCCCAACTAGAGAAGGCGGAGAATGGATTTTCAATTGTTGCGGAATATTTTGGTAGAGGTCTCTTCTCCGCTCCTCCTTCCCTTCAACCAATTAATCAAGTAAGCGGAATATTTCAGTGTTTCTGGAAATTACGTCTTCAGTCAGTTAAAATCCATATTTTTTTGTAATCTAATCACATTTATTTTGCAAAAATGAACTCAATTGATTTGATTTGATTTGATTTGATTTGATTTGATTTGATTTGATTTGATTTGATGCAGGGTTCTGGGTCTAGTAGAGATCTGAACCAGGCTCAGGGTATTGCGGAGAATATGTCGAGCTTAAACCTTTCAGAAGGAAGGATGAGAGCTGGTGAGTTCGGATTTAATAACTTTGAAAATCTCAACGCTATTACGTCATTTTTAAAACTTATTTGGTGTCTTTTTTATTATCGTTGATCTTGTTGAATAGATTGTTATTAATTTTTAATAAATTAAGTTGAGAAAGCTGTTATTAACTTATTGTTAAGCTGAAAAAGCTAGCAAATTTTCTCCAATTCCGTGAGAAAAAAAAGAGAAAAATCCTGCCTGACTTTTTTTAAAGAAATATATACCCCTGCGGGCCTGCAAGGTAATGAACTCTGTGGACAGGGTACTGTAGTTTACAATGTACAATCTACAATGAGCTTTGTATAAACATTAAACAATTGTTGTTGTTCAGGGGAAAGAGCTGGTTTGACGGCTCCTATACTAGAATCGGAAGGACGATTAAGACAAGCAGCAGGTTCAGCAGGTAATTATCCATTTATCTATCTATCTATCTATCTATCTGCCTTTCTAGTTTCTATCTATCTATCTGTCTTTCCATCGATCTGTCTTATCTATCTGTATCAATAATATTATATCTTTCGATCTAATTGTGTCTGTCAATCTCTCCAGATCCGTAACTGGAAGTTTTTTTGGGAGATGGTGAAGGGCGAGGGTGGGAGTCCCTCTTTAACTGTAACTAAGTGCATATTTCATTACAAATTTGATCTGACTGATTCTGACATAACACGTGTGCCCCATCTCCGCTGCATCAGTTACTATGTATCTCCTTCTAGCCAATAACCATCTATCTTTCTATCTAATCCATCTCTCTTATTTTTTTTTCGAGAAATGAATTGATCCTCATTTTGAAAGGATGATTAATTTGAAATTATTTAAGTTCATTTATTTCCTTATTAATAATGAAGATCATATTCCAATCCCCTCTTGGGCAAAATATAATCTTGGTAAATGATTGGAGAAGAAAAAGAAAAGAAAATATAAATTAAGTTTTCAATTTTTATCTTAAAACGATTACGCAGTTTTCTTAGTTTCCACTATTAATTGGATTGCATATTGATGAGAGGAAGGGGGTACAAAACCTAGATTTTTAGATAGTAAATAGGAAATTATATAGGAACTCTCATAAATAAAATGTACTGCAGTTTCTAGGAGAAATGTAAACAAACGTATAGTTCTTCCCCGGCTAAGCTTTGTTATCATTCCCCCCAGAAACTACAGTACACATTTTTTTTTATTGAAGTTCCTTTTATGTTAAGGACGACGGTTTGAAGAGAAGAGTGAAGGAAGAATGAGATCTGAGATAAAAGGTAAAAAAAAAAATCAAAAATAATGAATTTTCCTTCATTTAAATTTTACTATATGATTAATAAAACTCTCCTTAATTCAGCAAAATAAACATCTTTATTGCCGCCTGCAGTAACATACCTTATATGTGGGTGGGGTGAATAGGGGGAGGTGAAGAAAGTGTAAATATCAGGGGTGTATAATTTTCTTCCCCCTCTCTCCCCTTTTGAAAATCATTTTTTTCCAAGTAGTCATATTTATTTGTTTAATATTTTATTTGCTGAATTGGGAGAAATCAATGAATTTTTTGGGTAAAAAATATTCAAAAAATGAACAAAGTTGCTTTTATTTTCCCAAATCATCAAAAAATCAATTTTGAAAACTTTAAACCCGTGTACTTTATACTGTTATGTTCAGTTGGTCGGTTAGATGTCGAGCAGAGTGAGGGACGACTACGAGCGGATATGCGAGGAGCAGGAGTTAAACCTAATCTGGAAAGTGAAGGAAGACTACGTGCTGGTCAATCAAGCCAGGTAAGGTCAAGGGACGGGGTCAAGGGAGGGTCAAAAGCGATTAAAACGAAGAATCTTCTTTCTAAATTAATCAATTTAAGAGTCNGGTAATCGAATCATATCCGATAACATCCACGGAATAGATATTTTTGATAACCAAGAATAGAACTACATAATGGTAATTAATAATCGTATTTGTGGCTTACTTTTTGATTAAATCTCAGCCCTAACCTCTATAGTTGAGTGTTTGTTTTAGCGTTTGGTTTGTTTTGGTGTTTGTTTGTTTGTTGATTTGAAAGGGTATATTTTTCATTCAAAAAATATTGTATCTCATCTATATTACGTAATTCGATCATTAAATTTTTTATTGTACAAAAAATAATTTTTAAATATTTAAGGTTCCAATGAACACTCCTAGTGATGCGAGGCTACGGATGGGAGAAGGATCAAGGTTAATTACTTTTTCTAGTTCAAACATTTTATTAAAGGGAGAGACCGGCTAGACATGGTGGATTAATTTGTTGTTCAGGAACATATTTCTTAAAAGAAATTATCGATTAAACCAGAGGTTCCCGAGTTATGATCGGACAAACAAGCAGACAAACAGAAATTACAACTTTATATAGATAGATGATATAGGTTCAATATTTTTCTCAACCTTTTTGTATACATGCAACTAGTTTGTATAATGGTTTTTGTCACTAATGTTTTGTCCATGTTATTTAAGAATTGTAAAAAAAAAATGTTTCTTCTGCTGACTGAAACAACTGGTGAAATATTACAAACGACTTTACGCTCTTATTTAAAAATTGTACACCGTAAACATCTCTCATTAGTATCAAATGAATTCTTAAGGTTTTCTCTCTAATACCAAATACCATGTCTAGCCGGTCTCTCCCTTTAAGTGGTCGAAACTTTTTGTAGAACATCTTGAAGTCTGGATCCCTATATCCAATGTGGGTCCTTTTGAGGATAAACACAAAAAATCTGACTTATGAACAAACAATCAATCTTTGCAGCAATTATTTTTATTTTTATTTTGTAATTATTGATTATTATTATTATTAGCAGACAACCCATCATTTAATGTATTGTATGTTTTCGTTGAAACTTATTTCTCATTTTTACTTTTAGGTTGGGTGGAAGTCTTAATTCAAATATTACCCGACAAAAAATGGTAAGTTGTTCATGTTTTTGGAGATTGTTCTTTTGAACAATTATATATGCCAAAAATGCATGAAAAAAAGTTGACATGTGATATGGTTTCCAAGAAACCAACTTGTATAGGACAGAACATAAAGTATATATATATATATTAAGGAACAAAGAAGTTCTACTGGATATGGTGTCCAGGATCATCTATTAAACTAGTATATAATGTGTGAATATTCAGGAACAAAGAACTCTTACTGGATATGGTGTCCACAAACCACATATTAAACCAGTATATAATGTATGAATATTCTGGAACGGAGAAGTCCTACTGGATATGGTTTCCATAAACCACCTATTAAAGCAGTTTATAATGTATGAATATTAAGGAACAAAGAACTCTTACTGGATATGGTGTCCACAAACCACATATTAAACCAGTATATAATGTATGAATATTCTGGAACGGAGAAGTCCTACTGGATATGGTTTCCATAAACCACATATTAAACCAGTATATAATGTATGAATATTCTGGAACGGAGAAGTCCTACTGGATATGGTTTCCATAAACCACCTATTAAAGCAGTTTATAATGTATGAATATTAAGGAACAAAGAACTCTTACTGGATATGGTGTCCACAAACCACATATTAAACCAGTATATAATGTATGAATATTCTGGAACGGAGAAGTCCTACTGGATATGGTTTCCATAAACCACATATTAAACCAGTATATAATGTATGAATATTCAGGAACGGAGAAGTCCTACTGGATATGGTTTCCAAGAACCACGTATTAAACCAGTATATAATGTGTGAATATTCAGGAACGGAGAAGTCCTACTGGATATGGTTTCCAGGAACCACCTATTAAACCAGTATATAATGTATGAATATTCAGGAACGGAGAAGTCCTATTGGATATGGTTTCCAAGAACCAACTATAAGTAAGGACAGAATATCGCCCCAGAATCCTTTTGGTAGCCCAGATAGTGGAGAGTCTCTAAGTAAGTTTTTGTCAGCCTTTCATCATTTAACAATCTTTGAACCGGGGGTGGGGGCGCGGTGGAATAAATTTTTACTAAAAATTCATTTTTGGGGTTTACTGAAGTTTAAGCAAAGAAGTGTAAACGTTGGCTTTAAATTGTCGTCCCCACCTTCTTGATAAACACTAATTCTTATATTACGATTAGGTGAGTCCAACCCGTTTGCTGAGAAACAAATGAAACAGCCACGCCCTAGTTCTCATTTAAGCTCCAGTGTTGGCGGATCTAAAGGAGGAGGCGGTGCGGAGAACCCATTTGGCGGCGGAGGAGGAGGAGTAGAGAATACATTCGGCGAAGATTATGACGACGAGCTTAATCCGTTTGCTGATTAAAATAATTAAAGAATATAAATTTATTTACTATTACATTAATATTTATTGTACATCGTTTGATTTAAACCTTATATGTGATTGAACTTTTATAATTTTTGTTTTTATTAATATTATTAAAATGGGAGCAAATTAGAAACATTAAATTTGATTTGGATTTGATCTACAATCTTCTACTTTTTAGATTCCTCTTTAAACAAAGAAAAGTGGGGGTTCTTGTTAAGGGATTTTTGACATGACTTTACGTGAACCAACATTTAAAGAGTTGCATGTCCAATGAAAAACGGTGCACACTAACACCATTTTTTTATATATCAATTTTCAACATAGAAAAAACGAATAACTCCATCTTTTTGCTTAGTCAACTTTATTAAGAGTACCGTTGTAAATCGGACACGTAAATGGAGGCTAATAGTCTTCAAAGATGGATCATTGTTTTGCGCAATTTCAAGTGACACTCCATGCAAAGATGGCAATTCCCGATTCACAATGGTACTCTTAAAAATCCTTAACTGATGTAGTTTAAATTAGACATTAATGTGTATAAATTTGAGAACTGATTATTTTTAATCGGGGTTTCTCTACAAAAGTAACTTGCGCCTTTCTACTACAAGAAAACAAAGAAGTTGCCAGAATGCAACACTTAAAACATAGAGTGAAAATAAATTGATCAGATTTTAAGGGTACCTTTGTAATTCGCTGACAGTCCCTTTAATATGTACGATTTGTCTACGCATTTTTTTATTGTTCGTTTTGATTTCAGACTAGAATGTCGGCCGAGGAAGTTTTACAAAAATTATCCCAAGAATCCCCTTTAACATCTACCCAGCTGGCTCAACGGTTGAACTGTGATCATCAGAAGGTAGTTTAAGTCAGGGTGTGCCATTTAAAAATGGAAATTAAGTGAAGATTTCATATAGAAACATGCTAATGATAGCTTGAAAAGTATAGGCAATGAAGTTGAAAACAGACATGACGGTGTAATGAAAGCTCGAAATTTTGTTAATGATTAAAAAGTAAGCTTGAAACTATTAAACATTGAGCCTTATAGCCCAATGAAAGATTTTTATCAAACTTAAAAATAATGGAAAGTTTGGATTTTCTTCTGGAAAATATATATTTTTTAAAGAAATGAGCCCTAATTATAATAAAACTAACTTCTTAGTGCTTTTAGCCTTAACATTAAACTGAGTTTGTGGCATAAAGGTGACTAAACTAATGTCGGCAACCTTTACATTTTGGGTTGGCGTAAACAACAATGTTGTCTTTTGCCAAATAATATCAATTTCTAAAATATGGCGGATTTTAATTCTGATTAATTGTTAACATTAGTTATCTTTATTTAGATAGTTGGTTCGATTAAAAGCCTGGAGTGTCTTGGTGATGTTATCAGCTCTAAACTTGAAACTATCAAGAAATGGCAGCTTACACAGGTCTGGCATATTTATAATAACAATAAAAAAATAAATGTTGAGTGAAAACTGAAGAAAAATTATGGGTATGTTAGTTTAGCTAATTTCGCTTTAGATCATATACTGTTATTTTTTGAATTATTAGCTTTATGAATCCCATTTTTTTAGCCATTTCTGTGTTGAGGCGTTTCCAAACACCGACCAAATAACTAAGGCTTAAGTTAAGGGTTCGAAGTTTAAATGTTATAATTGTTGTTTTTGTTTGTTGATTTTTATATTATATTTTTTTTGCGTATTTGCAGATTTTTCCAACTTTCTTTGTGATTTAATTTTCTTAATTTCCCAGGAAGGAGAAATGGTTGCCAAAGATGGCAGTCACGAGGCAATCGTCTTCTATTTAGTTCCAACAGCTGGTATCCCTCAAGCTGAACTTATGAAGGTTAAGACGGACATATTAAAACATAATTATTTTAGTCCTTATAAAAGTTGTAATAAAAAGAAAACTAAATTTTGTTTTAATGTTTTGTAAATGATTAAATCAAAGCTTACTCGGTGCTCTTAATCATGAAGAATTGTAAATTATTCGCAATTGCATTCTATAAACCCACATCTGAAATACTCACAACCCCTCTCCTGTAGAGCTTGACCCATCCAAGATATTGAAAAACTTAAACCTTTGCCATTTTCGACAGACTTACAGAGAATAATTGTGAGTTTACCAATTTATGTTAAATAGATATAGATAGATTGATAGATATTTATCATTAAAGTACATAATTTTACATAGATAGATTCTTTAAACTATTAAAGTACATAATTTTACATAGATATATTCTTTAAACTAACACTTCAATGACGCGATTTGCCAAGCCAACATTGGCCGTCTTTAATGGGAAACCCGGTTATTGTATGATATAATTTTTAAATCATACAATTGGAGGTGTTTCGTACGCTGGTAGGGGAAAGTATTAGGAAGAGAGAGAAGGGGGGTGGGGGTTATGTAGCTCAATCAGAATCAAAATGATGATAATAATGATAATAATAATTATAATTATGATAATAATAATAATAATGATAATAATATTAATATTTTGAAGGCTGCTGGCAGTGTTGGTAAAGTGGGGTTCAGCAAGGCGATGTCTGCTGGCTGGATTACATTAGGTTAGATACAGTTTTCAAATTAACAGCATGAATATAACCTTAGAATTCCTTATCATTGTTGTTATTATTATTTGTACCTGGGGTTGATAATTGATTGGTGCATTTATCATTCCTTGATTAAAGCATTGATTGATTTATTATTTGATTAACTGATTGTTTGATTAATGTCTTCTACTCATGCATAGACTAAGACACTACACTAATTAATTGATTTGTTTAGACTCATGCACTGATTGATTCATTGATTGATTTTTTGATTGATATATATTGGGCCATTGGTTGAACAATTGGTTAGGGATAGTGATTGATTCTTTTTATACTGATGCATTGATTGATAGATTTTTAATTAGTCTGTTCGGTATTATTTTATTGGTTCAGAGATTCATAGATTGATAAAATATAGATTTATTGTCTAATTTTTTGTTTTTACTTTTGTTTCTTTATTAGTTAACTAGCTGAAGTGACCGGCATTGCCCGTGGATTTTAACAAACGCTAGAAAAAAAATTTATTTTGAATTAGAAAAAATTCGAATTTTTTATTGATTTGTTGACTAAATTGACTGAATGATTCATTGATTGATTTTTTGATAGATTTTTTAATTTGATTAAGGTCTTCTACTCATGCATAGACTAAGACACTACATTAATTAATTGATTTGTTTAGACTCATGCACTGATTGATTCATTGATTGATTTTTTGATTGATATATATTGGGCCATTGTTTGAACCATTGGTTGGTATAGTGATTGATCCTTTTTATACTGATGCATTGATTGATAGATTTTTAAATTAGTCTGTTCCTTATTATTTTATTGGTTTAGAGATTTATAGATTGATAAAATATAGATTTATTGTTTAATATTTTGTTTTTAGTATTGTTTCTTTATTAGTTAACTAGCTGAAGTGCCTGGCGTTGCCCGTGGAATTTAACAAACGCTAGAAGAAAAATTAATTTTATATTAGAAAAATTCGAATTTTGAAGAAAAAAACCTATTTTTTTTTCTTTGTTACCACCAGTGTGCCTAAGAAAGCCCTCAAAAAATGTGTTGCTTTTTTATAAGAAAGAATATATTCATTGATCTAACGATAAACATATATGTTGATTGGTTGATTGATTTAATGATTTATAAATTGTATACTGTATAATTGTACTAATACTAGATAAGACCGCAGTGCCTCCTCTTGTGCGTAGAAAAGTTGAATCTGTACAGGACACCACTCAGGTGAATAGATACAACTATCTGAGGTCCAAACTTTTGGTGGAAAAGCTCTATTCTAAGAAATAAGAAATAATAACTCTATATTCATACTTTTTATTATATATTTTTATTTGAAGCGATTAAGTGCTAATCCGGTAAATATTTATTTTTTTATTTAATCCGGAGTCAAACATAACGAAGTTCAACGATGTGTAATGTGTACACTGTACACTGCATATACTCATTAATTCTGGGATGTAATTCAAAATCATTAAATCCGCTTTCTAAATCCGCTGTCCCTGTGTTAAGAAATAATGAATAGTAAGTAAGTAGTTGAGCGGGCAAGTTAAGTTTAACCACTTATCAAGTTGATCTCGTCTACACTTAAGAATTGGTTCAACTAGGCAGAACTAGTTGAACCAATTCTCTCTCGCTTAGAAAATCCAGTCAAATTTGTATTCAGGTAAACCTTGCCGCAATCTGTTCTCAGGGTGGAGACGTTGTAGCAGAGAAGGAGAAGGTTGAATTGAAGAAGAGAAAGCTTGTTCAAGAGATCACGGAGAAGATCTATATCCTGGAGAAGGGATCTAACTTCACAACTAGTATTACCAAGGTAATATATGATTAATATTATTATGCTTCTACTGAACCCCTTCAAGTGAGATGAGACATGAACCCCAGAGGTCGGAGGATTTGATGACAACTTCACTACCAGTTTTACCATCTACCAAGCTGACAATACATATATCGTTGAATATTTTATTCCATCTCAATGGTAACGCATAATAATAGGCTTAAGTAATCGCTTTGCTATTTTTGATCATTTAGAGCATTTCCAGGTGTCTTAGTCAAAATGGGTAGAAATTGTGATTTTAAAGTATTGAAGTATGATAGATAGCAACGTCAACTTCACTAAATAAAGGCTTGTCTAATAATGATAATAATAATACAGAGCTTTCGTGTTGATAATGTATGATTATATGATAATTTATTTACCTAGGCTGAAACTGATCTAACTCCTGAAATGATCAGCTCTGGCGACTGGAAGAACATCTCCTTTAAACCTTACAACTTTGATGCTCTTGGGGTCTCTCCTGACGGAGGAACTCTGCATCCCCTTCTTAAAGTCAGGTTAACAAGATTTTCGCATTTGTTTTTACTAATCTGTCTTTTTCGTTAAAGAGCCGTTATTTTAAGTTACTCCATTTTTTACAGTGGTATGTTCTATTCACAATGAAAATCTTTTTCCAATCATGAATACCAACAACTTTTTAAGCCAGAAAGACGACGATATCTTCTGCATAACTGCTGAGATAAAGGTTTAAAGGGTAAACATAGTTACCGTTATAAATTGTGCATGTCCTGTTTCAAAGGGAAAATCATCTGAAATTAAAACGACAGTTCTTTATTCGTTTTACATTTCTTTTTCGCTACTCCTTTTTGAATGACCCACATACGTACTTTTTTTTAGGTCTGAATATAGACAGATCTTCTTAGAGATGGGGTTCACAGGAAACATATTCTAACTGTACTGCACTGTACTGCGTTTTTTGCATATTTTATATTAATATTTTTATTTATTGTTGCGGTATTTTATTCTTTATTGTTTAAATTTTTTTGAAATGTCAACACTAAACATTAGAGAAAAGTTTCATCTTATACAAAGTTCATTGTCAGACTTTGCATACTTTTATTGCATTCAGTATTCAATTTCATCTGGGGGTTTTGCATCTTTGGTAAACATTTAAAACAAATGCAAAATTCCTTTTGTTGTCAGAGTGGTAAATTTTCCCGGTGTTTTTTTTCCACAAAATTTGACAAAAGGGTATACTTGGACAAATGGTCCGTATCTATTTTTTGATGCGCTGTTTACAAATCTATATCAAATGGAACTTGCTAAACTGTAAAAAAATGGATAAGAATAATGTTGATCATGTAGAGATGCCGACCAACAACTTTGTTGAGAGTAGTTTCTGGAATTTTGATTCTTTATTCCAGCCACAGCAGCATCCAGCTAGAGATGCTCATGATACTTTCTTTATCAGGTTAATCAGTTAATCAGTTAATCCATATCCGTGTAATAAATCAATCAATCGACCCAGCAGCATCAAGTCATAGATGCTCATGATTCTTTCTTCATCAGGTCAATCAATCTATCTTTCTATCTTTCTATTTATCAATCAAAAAAGTAGCATCCAGCTAGAGATGCTTTTGATACTTTCTTCATCAGGTCAATCAATTAAATAATTAATCCATATTTATTCAATCGCTTAATACATATCCATTTAATCAATCAATCAATCGACCCCAGCAGCATCAAGCCAGAGATGCTCATGATACTCTCTTCATCAGGTCAATCAATTATTCATTCTATCTGTTTATTTAATCAATTAATTAAGCAGCATCCAGCCAGAGATGCTCATGATAGTCTCTTCATCAGGTCAATCAATTATTCATTCTATCTGTCTAATCAATCAATCAATTAAGCAGCATCCAGCCAGAGATGCTCATGATACTTTCTTCATTAAGTCAATCAATCAAACAATTACGTAATCTATCTATCTCATTAATTAATCAAGCAGAATCCATTTAGAGTTTTCAATGATACTATCTTCATCATGTTAGATGATCAATCAAGCAATCAATCAATCAAACAAATCAATTAATCAAAAATCATAGGGTTATCTATATACTAGTCGAACAATTTATAAATTAATGTATTAATCAATCAATCAATTATCAGTTTGTCAGTTGATCCTTTAAGTATATGTTATCCGCTACCTAGGGTTTATTTTTTATCAAACAAGTATTTTCCTTTTCTCCTTCCTTTAAAGGCCTTTTATTTTAGGAATCTTAGTCCTCTCCTTAGTCTTTATATTTCCTTCTTGTTTAGTTTAATCGAACAAATTTATCTATTGCTGAATGTTAATAAAGAATCAAATATTTAACTTTTTGAAAAATTGGAGAAAAAAGTAAGATAAATATTTGAATTTTTAAATTTTTATGAAAAACTAACTTTATTAAAAAAAAGATAAACAGTATTTTTTTTCCAGTGATCCAAGTACCACTACATTGACCAACCAGGAGTACGTGGAAAAGGTTTCCGAGATACATTCCAGGGGAGGATTCGGGTCCCAGGTAATCTTTAATTCTTATTCTCTGTGTTGTCCACGGAATTTGAGCAACGTCGGTGTTCTGCCTACTACCGGTTCAAATTTGAACCACCGAAAATCAAAGTTAAAGATTCAGGAAAGATTTGAATCGGAGTTCTTGTAGCTAGTAACTTTTGAATGGACGAATCCGAGTTTATCTCTATTGAACCGATTTGAGGTACATCAGATAAAAATAACGACTCTCCGACCATTAATTCTGCGTAAGATCTAATCTGACAGATTTGAAGAAAATTAGATGATGCTTAAATCTTTTGTTTTTAATTTCAGGGGTACGGATATGATTGGAAAACCGAGGAGGCTGCCAAGGTCAGTGATTCATAATAAACAAATTATTTTACAAAGTGGTGGAGTCTTTATCACAAACTCAAATCTCATTATTTTTGCAACCTGATGTTGTAAACCTTCGATATTTTTGTTTAACTTTGATTATTTAATCCAACAGTTTGAAATTAATAAGATCATTGGAGTGCAATAATATAGGAATTATAAAATTAGAGTTTGTGACAAGACTCAACACTATTATAAAATTAGAGTTTGTGATAAGACTCAACTCTATTATAAAATTAGAGTTTGTGACAAGACTCAACACTATTATAAAATTAGAGTTCGTGACAAGACTCAACACTATTATAAAATTAGAGTTTGTGACAAGACTCAACAATATTATAAAATTAGAGTTTGTGACAAGACTCAACACTATTATAAAAATCAAAATATATAAAATATGAATGTAGTGAACTACAGATAAAATAAAAAAATTGTAAATATAGGAATAAGAAATGTAAATGGGTGATAAATATTTATCAATGAAGAATGATAAAAGAATAATATGGTTAAAACAATAAACTTGCCGAGGTTATTTAACAAACTTTGGTTGTTTGGATCTACAGGACAATCTAATATGAAATCTTGGTTGCACAATGGTGGGAATACCTAAGCCCCAAGATTCCAAAAGAAATTCTGTGCCAAGCATTTTTCTTGATGTATAAAATAAAAACAAGATGATATTATTCGAGGATTACATTTCATTATTCCAGGGGGTCACTCGTTTTTCTAAGGATAATTAGAGTAAAAAATGAGAATTTTTGGCATTAATAATAATATGGAAATAAATGTATATAAATATAAATACATGTTTATTAATATATAGATGTTTATTTATATATATATACATACATTTTTATAAATAAATGTTTTATGAACAATAAAGAATATGAATAAATATTTTAATATAAACAAAAGTTTTATGAACATTAAAAAAATATGAATAAATGTTATTAATATAAAAGAATATTTATGTATATGAAAAAATGTTCTAAAATAAATAAATGTTTATATATAAATAAATGTTCATAAATATAGATAAATGTTTATAAATATAAAAAAAATAAAATGTTTGTAGAACTTGTTGCGGACTCATACAACTGCTGTATCAGCCAGGAATATTCCCATCATTAATCTTAATAATATTATTTTTTACTTTTACATTTTTAAAAAGTTTTTTTCTATTTTTTCAGTTTAGGAGATATTTATAAATATAGATAGATGGATATACAGATTTAATTCTAATGTGTGAAGAATGAGGTTTGTCTACACATTTTACTGTGATGTTCAGGACTGTTAAGAACCATAAAACTGCGAAAACGATAACAAATATTGAAAACAAAGTCGGAATTTTCACTAGTATACCTTAAGAAATAATTTTTCAATGTCACTATAAACCAGTTTATTTAGTCAAAAACTTTAGTATATCTGAGCTTTTTTGTGAAAATGTTACTATAGTTTTCACATTCTTTTTTTAATTTTTAAAATTAGTTTTCTTTTTGTCTGTTTATACTTCATATTTCGGTATATATGTATATATATATATATAAATAAATAAATATAAATATAAAACATTTCCCTGAAAGAGAAAAGTTTTCATTTATCTTGATATGTTTCTAATATAATGCCAGGATTTGTTTAATTCTGGGGCTAGATTTATTAACATTAGGAGTAGAGAAATAAGAAATGTTTATTGTTTATACATAAAGAGACTGTAAGTGTAATTTCAAGTGACCCTCCATGCAAAGATGACAACGCCCGATTGTAACGTTACCCTCAAAAGTTTTGTCTGATCAAGGATGAATTTAATATCAATGTTTTTGTTTTTTTAAACTGTTAATTTTCTTTTGCGGTTTTTCTGCGAAAGTAACTTGCGCATTTCTTGCTAATCAGAAGAAATGGTGAAACTCACAGAATTAAACTCTTTTCGGAAACTTCTGTATCTTCCACATTTTTGATCAGATTTAGGTTTTCAAGGGTATCGTTGTAAATCAGGATTGCCATATTTACAAAGAGGGTCATTTTAAATTACGCTTACAGTCCCTTTAAAATAACATAGTTGATCAGTCAGAGAACTAGTTTCTTTGTAAACATGTTTTAGCATGGGGTGGACTAATGATAGAGGAGCAGGAACAACTAAGAAGTGAGCAAAACTAATATTTTCTCTTCGAATTTTTTTATTTATGGAAATTCTTGGAACAATGAACAAAAATTAATACAGAACAGTGAAAATAACATGATTTTTTGCCTTGATGGTAAAGGGGTCATTTTAAAGTAGGGCCGGGCAAAGTTCCGTTAACAAAATGGAGGTTTTTGAAAATTAACGGAAGAGTCTGTTAACGAATGGCAAAAAACGTTAATTTTAAGTCGTTAACGAAACGGATTAGCCGGTTAAAAAAAAATGACGGTTAAAAACGTTAACTAAAAAGCTAAAAACGGTAAATTTCGTTATATTCTGATAAAAATTGCATGATTTTTTTTTTAATTTAAAAATTTAACGCTTTTCGATGCTTTTAAATGTCTTCTTCTGTGTTAATAATCCGAGCTGTGCTGTGCCGTAAACGGATTTTTTTACCATTTCGATTGTTAAAAATTTTCCGTTAACGCTGTTAATAAAATTGAGATAGTTAACTAACAGTAATTCAAAAAAAATGGAAAATGCCGTTTTTAACGGAACGAAAAATCCGTTCTTGCCTTAAAATTTTCGGCTAACTGAAATTTTTATTTTTTAACGGTTGGAACTAACCATTAACGAAACAGTTAGAAAAAGTTGGAACGTGCTCAGCTCTTTTTTAAAGGATAAATATTCCTATATTGCTTTATTTAAATATTTTGTAAGTACTATATTATTGGAAGGAATTCCAATATTGTTTCAGAATTAGGTTCACCAAGAACTTTCTAAACAAACAACACTCATTTTGGGAATAAAAAAGTTGTGGGACCTCCCATGACCCCAGGCACGGATAGGTTTATTACCGGTCAAAGCCTTTTAATGGGAGTGTCTGGCTACCCATGGTAGTTGAGCTGAGAATGCAGTATTGTAGAGAAATTTGTTAGGAGTCATTTGAGAGCAATAAGACGTTTTACGGTGCATATTTGTAAGCAAAAGCGCAAATTTAATCTTTAAAATGTTTTATTTTCACTTTTTAATAACGACGACGAAAAATTTGACAAATTAGTTGTTTAGGAACATATTTCTCGGAAGAAATTTCTCAATAAATCAATGTTTGAATCAATTCATTATTTTTCATCATTATATGATTTTTCTTATTCTTTATGAATTTGTTCACAGATTTCTTCAAATTCTTCAAATGTCGAGTCGTCTTTTCAATAAAAATTCCAGGAAATCTATGGAAAACGTTTGTAAACAATGAGACATTACAGAAACCAGTAACTGAATAAGGTCACGTATTATCGATGATAATAGTTAATTTTTATTTTCTCAACCTGTTCCTAAGCAACTCATTAGTCGTCATTGAATAATTTAAAAAATACCGATTCTCAAAATCATCCCTCCAAAATGAACAATCCATGAGGATTTTAAAGATTGAATTTTGCGTTCTTGCTGGACAAATATGCACTGTGAAAACGTCTCGTAGATCTTAAATAAATCCTAAAAAATGTCAATACTGCATTCTCAGCTCTAGCCAGACACTTCCTTTAAGCTGACAAATAAGACAGGAAAACCTTTGAAATATTTAGTTTTGAGTTGTTTTCTAATAATAATAAAAGTAAAAGTAATGTGTGAAGAAACAATCAAAAGCTTGAAATATTTCTACAGTCTGAGTCTTTATCCTTTAAACCGTAAATGTTTAAAAAAAAAAGAAAAAAAATTAGATAAAAGTTATTATTCTATTCTAAAGTATTTTATGTTTACTTAATATTGCTTTTAGTCTTAATATAACACAGCAGTATATCCCTACTGGGACTGTAATTAACTATAATATTAACTATTCACCTACACAATACAATATAGATTCTTTTTTCTCAAAAGATAAATAGAAAATTTATTATTTTAAGTGGTAAGAAATTGACTCAATTTAATGCTTCTTTTAAGGAAACTTGATGAAAACAGTCTTTTGATACCTTACAAAGGATTGATTCTCTTCATCTGCAATTTTTAGGATGTAAAGGATTCAGTTTATTTCAGTTCAGTTAAAAATTAAAAAATAAAAGTTGTGCCAATTTATTTAAGACTTGAAAATGGGTTATTCTTTATAACATTTTATTTTTCCAAATCCTAGGAGTAGGATATCAAGTCGTTGTTGTTCAGACTAAGTTTAAAAGGGTACAGTTGTGAATTGAACATGCCACTCTACAAATGACATTTAAACAAACAGTACCTTTAAGAGGAAAATTGATTTTGGTAGAAAAATTTTAAGCGTTTATCTCTGACAAATTGGTTAAAAGGCTGGTTAATTTGTACTGACATTAATTTGAATTTTAAATTTTAAAAAGTAAAATCAGGGATCAAAGTTAAATAGAAAATTAAGTTTACCACTTTCATTTGGAATAGATCAAAATTCTGAAATTTTTCGAATGTTTATAAAATGTTAATTCAATATTGTCCAATAGTACAATCTCTATATTCTCTATTCTCATCTATTCATTGTTTCATAATTCTGCTGACCCCTACTTCTCCTTGAATTCTGCTGATCCCTTCTTCTCCTTGAATTCTGCCCACCCATACTTCGCCCTGAATTCTGCTCACCCCTACTTCTCCCTGAATTCTGCTCACCCCTACTTTTCCTTGAATTCTGCTCACCCCTACTTCTTCTTGAATTTTGCTGAGCCCTACTTCCCCTTGAATTCTGATGACCCCTAGTTCTTGAATTCTTATGACCCCTACTTGCCCTTGAATTCTGATTAGGTGTTAGTTGCAATGGAATTTATTTAACATATTTCACTAATTTAGTATCTTTGTTTAAAACATAAGTATTAATGATGGTAATACTGGTATACAGAATGCTGCACAAGTTGGCCCAGCAGGATGTTTTTACTCCTCAGAAGTATTTCTCGATAGATCGAGTCTTCAGAAATGAAACCCTGGATGCAACTCATTTGGCAGAGTTTCATCAGATTGAGGGTAGGTTGTTTATCTTATGGTTTTCTGACAGTTGAAATCCCCATTAAGCTTGGATCTAACTTGACTTGACTTGACTTGACTTGACTTGACTTGACTTGACTTGACTTGACTTGACTTGACTTGACTTGACTTGACTTGACAGAACTTCTGGTCAAGTAACACGGAAGTATGAATAATATTATGAATTAAATCTATTAAAAATAGAAATAACAAATATAAAATTAGAATTGGAGTAAACCTAAGTTACAATTAGCTTTCTCTGGGATATCATAGTTTTCAGATTGGTTGCATATTTGCTGAATTTGATCTATTTAAACCCTCTACTTTTATACAAAATTGTATATTTATTAATTTTCGTATAAATTTGACACAGTTGTATATCAATTTCTCTAGATAGGAACATCAGATATGACTTTCATGGGTCGCGATCGAGAGCTAAAGTGATTAGCTTTCAGCCTATACCCCTTTCATTTTTCCTTTGCAGTCCCTTTAAATTTCAATTGCTCTCATTTCTTTCTCTTAATTTGAATAATATACAAAAAGGGTATTAAGTAAGGGGATGTTTACATTCTACTTTAAATAAATGAAATAAATTCAGGATACAAGAAGCAGAAGGAATTGAGAACTTTAAACGTCGCTTTCAACAAGTGTTACATGTTTTAGTCAAAATATGTTTCCAAAGAAAGTATGTAATATTAAACGGTGTTTGATAGAAAGCTTTGATTTTTATTTAATTTTTATGTAGGAATTGGCGTAGTTATGTTTTTATTTCTAAATATTAGGATATTGAGTTTATTTCTAAGAGGTAAACATTTCCGTTCAAAGATTAAAATCATTCAAATAGAAAAACTGATATTTAGGTGTGATTGTGGACTACGGGCTGACTCTTGGAGATCTTATAGGAAATCTTTCATTAAAAATATTTTGAAAACATTTTTTATTGCTTTCACTTTACTAACTATCAAAGCATAAAACTTTTACTAAAATATCCAATATACTGACTATGATAGTATAAAATGCTACTATATCTACTATACTGACTATGATAGTATGAAATGCTACTGTATATCCAATATACTGACTATGATAGTATAAAATGCTACTATATCTACTATACTGACTATGATGGTATGAAATGCTACTATATCTACTATACTGACTATGATGGAATGAAATGCTACTATATCTACTATACTGACTATAATTTTATGAAATGCTACTTTATCTACTATACTGACTATGATAGTATAAAATGCTACGATATCTACTATACTGACCATAATTGTATGAAATGCTACTATATCTTCTATACTGACTAGGATAGTACAAATTACTAATATATCTACTATACTGACAATAATTTTATGAAATGCTACTATATCTACAATATTGACTATGATAGTATAAAATGCTACTATATATACTATACTGACTATGATGGTATGAAATGCTACTATATCTACTATACTGACTATGATGGTATGAAATGCTACTATATCTAATATACTGACTATGATGGTATAAAATGCTACTGTATCTACTATACTGACTATGATAGTATAAAATGCTACGATATCTACTATACTGACCATAATTGTATGAAATGCTACTATATCTACTATACTGACTATGGTAGTATAAAATGCTACTATATCTACTATACTGACTATGATAGTATAAAATGCTACTGTATATCCAATATACTGACTATGATAGTATAAAATGTTACTTTATCTACTATACTGGCTATGATAGTATAAAATGCTACTATATCTACTATACTGACTATGATAGTATAAAATGTTACTATAATTACTATACTGACTATATGATAGTATAAAATGTTACTATATCTACTATACTGACTATGATAGTATAAAATGTTACTACTAAATCTCTGAGTTTGGCATTTGCTAAACTGATCTATTATGTTGGCACTGTGAGGTGGAAAGGTAGAGATAAGTAAATTTCAGTCCAGGGGGGGGGATAGAATAAAGGTTGTATAATAACCTGGGGGGGAAGGGATAGAATAAAGGTTGTATAATAACCTGGGGGGAGGGGGGATAGAATAAAGGTTGTATAATAACCTGGGGGGGATATCTAAGATATCTTACAATTATATAAAAGCAATTACAATTCTAAAGTATACTTATTAATGAATTGATTGATTCAAGGTGTTCTCTACCAATTCTTCCAAAAGCTTGGAATTCATCAACTAAGGTAAAAGAAGGATTTTGTACAGAGACTTTTCGACTCAAGTTATGATTTGAACAATCTATTGAACGTAAAACGCTGCAGTTTATTTTCAAACTATTTGTAAAATTTATTCTTTTAAAACAACATCAAGTTAACAAAGGTTTGTAAAATGTTCTTTTAGTATTTCCTAGTTTTATACGAGTCACACCGCAGCAAGTTTCTTGTTTTTACTATGTATTACTATTTTCTTTAAGGTTCAAGCCTGCCTACAACCCTTACACTGAACCCTCTATGGAGATATTCTCTTATCATGCAGGTCAATACATTATTACCAAATAAAAGAAATGTAAGATTAGTAATTAAAATTTCAAATGGTTGTCTGGCAATAATGTCGGATGTCCAATGTAGTGTATTAATATTTAAATATTTACAAAGGCCTTAAAAAAATGTCATCCGCAAAATGAAAAAAATTTTGAGTTAATTAATTCATCTAAATTTTGGAGTGTGGTCGACAGGACATCCAAACATTCTGATTTGATTTGATTTGATTTGATTTGGTTTGGTTTGGTTTGGTTTGGTTTGATTTGATTTGATTTGATTTGGTTTTATTTGGTTTTATTTTATTTGGTTTGGTTTGGTTTGATTTGGTTTGATTTGATTTGATTTGATTTGATTTGATTTGATTTGATTTGGTTTGGTTTGGTTTGATTTGATTTGATTTGATTTGATTTGATTTGGTTTGGTTTGGTTTGGTTTGATTTGATTTGATTTGATTTGATTTGGTTTGGTTTGGTTTAATTTGGTTTGATTTGATTGTGATTGTGATTGTGATTGTGATTGTGATTTTGATTGTGATTGTGATTGTGATTGTGATTGTGATTTGATTTGTACGGTACCCTGTACCCTGTACAATGCACCTAAGCGCTAATGTACACACAATTCAATGTTGAATCCTGGTGTACTCTAAAGTACACATCAAGTCAACGTTCTGATTATAAAACCTAGCGAAATCTTCTATAAATAAAGTATTCTTGATTATGATGAAATACTACTGTAGAACATAACAATATTTTTTTTCCAAACCGAAAAGCCAATTTCTATTGTTGTAGAAATCTAATTATTTTTTATATTTCAGTAAAAAGCCTACCACAATGCTGTGGTATATAAAAATATTGCAAAAAGTATGTATTTGCGAAAAGCTGTTCCACAATGGTGTGGACGTTTTAAATGAGTAATGAAAAAAATGTGTTTAAATCTCGTATTTATTTTAAAAAAAGATTATCTTGAATGAAAGGCCTCTACTTATAATTTAAGATAATTCTCAATCAGAAAGTAATTAAATATAATCTTAACAAATATATGTTTAGGTTTAGGGAAATGGGTTGAGATTGGGAACTCGGGAATATTCAGGTTTTTTAAAATAATTTTAATATTTTATATTCCTGGAGGTGGATAGTTTTTTAGAATCATACTTAAAGTTTAAAGAATTTTCTTTCAAACAATATTTGTAAATTCCACAAAAACTTAAAAATCCCCTTATTCAAATTCAACTTTAACCATGAATATATTTTTAAGTTAAGTAAATTCTCATTCATAAAAAAATAATACTTAACCCTTAACAGTGGGTATCGAACGCAAATTGACAAGAATAACAACTTGGAACAAATGCATTTAGAAATCACTAATTCTTATATTTTTTTCCAATGGAATAAGTTGGTTGTTCGTTATCTGAAGGTCAGATTAAGTAGAAGCCATAAAATATTCAAAAAGTACATAGTTATCAATACTTGTTTACTGTACCATACAGTGCCCGTACAGTTGTAAGTGTGTACCATACTTGGTGCCAGGTAATAGTGGTTAAAGGGGGAGGGTTGTACAATTACCGTGACTGCCTAGGAAGACCAGCTTTCCAACTCCAGTTTCGACAATTGTTTACATTCGTTGTTATTGTTTTGATAAGACTAGCTCATAGCAGTCCGAAATGTCACACAGAAATGTGTACACATACCTTACCCCCTCTACCTTTAGTGTACATACCTTAGCTTGGCATTTACTTTCTTTGTTACTGTTTTCTGAATGTTGGTCTGTTATTCTAAATGTTCATGATAGAAACAATCTCAAGAACTGATGAGGATCAACCTAGACCAAAATATATGTTCAAATTAATCTACTTTTTTACTCTGCAGAGGTTTGGTCCATCACCATCACCGAATGTGAAGTGTTCACTCTTGTGAGGTGTAGCGTTTTATGAGTTTATAGTGTTTTCATCATAACTTCAGATCTATGTTATACAGATTCAGACAAATATCAAAATTATCAAATTTTGAAACCGGGTCGACTTTGAGATGTCCTAGGTAAAGTTACATCATCAAGTCATTTCAACTTTTAAGTACAGTCAAGATAAGTATCGATTTAAAGCAAGCTGTTAAACAGCATGCATACCATAAACATAGAAGTCAAGAGAAGCATTCATTTTGAACAGCTTCTCTTTAACGACTTAGAAACTTGTAGTTCGAAAAAAAGCTGTTAACAATCAAAAGTTAAATAAAAAGTCGTCCTCATTGTATTGTTATAATCGCCTACCACTGTAGCCCATGTTCACTTTAGAACCATGGCGCGCTTTTTCTAGCTTCAGTATAAAAGGGGTAATTGGCAAAATTCTGATTCCGCATATATAAACATATTTGACAATTTTTCATAAATTTCTCTTTAATGCAGGATTCAATGAACATTCAAAATATATAGATAAACTGTCTTGAAGAGGCAATCTTGAGAAGTTTGAATACAGCATCTTGATAATTTCATTAAATAAGATCAGAGAGAAGAGAGAGGGGAGGGGGGACTTATTGACTTAACATTAAACAAATTGGAAAATTAGCTTAATTTGATATAAACTACGTGCTTTTTCTAAAAGAACTTGAAATAATATAAAATTTTGACAAATTTTCTTGGTATTCACCAAATAATGCATAGTCACCATTTTCCACCCCTAGCTGATGCTAGCAAATATACTCTTTTGTACTTTTGATATAAGAAATCGTGCAGAAATAAAAGCTTTTGTGTATTTTGAATATAATAATATAAAACTAAAAAAAAAATTTTTTCTAAAATTATTATAAAAATATTTTCAGAAAGGGTAAGAAAAGGGTCCCACAATAACAGTGGGGGGGGGTGTCCACACCCCACTGACTTTACTGCACTGATTGAAGCCATAATTAAGTGTTCTTTTCGTTATGGACTTTTTTAGTTTCTAGGAAATTAATGTAAAAGATAGAAAGAAAGAAAACGCATAAACTAATTATCTGGAATGTCTATTGTCTATGAATAACTAACGAACAAATTGTAATGCAGGTTTTTATCAGTGTTTTCTGTGAGACTAACGCTTATTTTCTCAAATACAGTTCAGTGGTATCCAAAAAAGATGAGTGTGTAATGACGACATGTAATTCTTCAAATATGGATAAATAAATAAACAAATTTTTAATTTAAAACTTCAATTTGCGTTGTTTAAAAAAAAAAGTTTAATCAAAATCTGACTTTCTATGGGACTATCTAAGAATGTGTTATATTTCTATTTTAATGTTATTTTAGACCTGAAATGTTGCTACCTATGGGACTATCTAAGAATGTGTTATATTTCTATGTTAATGTTATTTTAGACCTGAAATGTTGCTACCTATGGGACAATCTAAGAATGTGTTATATTTCTATGTTATTGTTAGTTTAGACCTGAAATGATGCTACCTATGGGACTATCTAAGAATGTGTTATATTTCTATGTTATTGTTATTTTAGACCTGAAATGTTGCTACCTATGGGACTATCTAAGAATGTGTTATATTTCTATGTTATTGTTATTTTAGACCTGACTATCTAAGAATGTGTTATATTTCTATGTTATTGTTATTTTAGACCTGAAATGTTGCTACCTATGGGACTACCGGATAATGTACGAGCTATAGCCTGGGGTCTATCCCTAGAACGACCCACCATGATTAAATATGGAATTGACAACATCAGGTGAAAATAACTCTTCCTAATCTCATTTTTATTGAAGATAAAATTGAAATAAATTTGACTGGAATTGGTGCAGTTCTCTCCCCGGCCTGGATGTAAACTTCACCCCTGGGTGTAAAATACACATTTCCTCGGATTTAAACATTTTTTACAATTTTATTTTCGAGTTCTCTTTTATTCTATTCAGTTACATTGTACAAACATGTAGCATTTACTTCATCTATATATAAACTCAGGAACCCCTGGACCGATTTGCCTCAAATTTTAATTGGGGAACTCGGTAGAACCAGAGGAATGTTCTTAGATTACAAATTCAAGTTGAGTGGGTTGGATTTTATAGCGAAAGTTTAGTTTCCAGACAAAGCTGGTTTCCCATGCTATGTATATATTATTACATACGATTGATGTTCTAGAAAAAGAATTAATACATTGTGAATTCTTTGGGAACAAGACATTTTAGGAACAATTTTAGGGGTAAATCCATCATCTCTGTGAACCAATTTATGTATTAGAAAGGATTCCTACGTAATACGTAGCTATAATGAAAGAATGGGGAAAATGCGGCTCGGAGACAGAAATGATGAGGTTTGCTTTCCACTATTCGTCATGGGGAATTTTGAGACTCCAGTCCGACCCTGTTTGAAATGGAATAGTTGACTATTACTGTTACTTTAAAACAGTAGTAGTGGATATGTATTGTATCTTAAAGGTAAAAACTAAAGACAACCTTTGGAAATTCCAGTTTTGGTAATTATTATGTTTGGCACCCTGTATCATCAGTTTCCAACTTAAAACAATACAATGTTAATGTGTTCAACTAATCTGCAAAATCACAGTTGTTAAAAATTCGACCTTTTTAAAACTTTTTTTATTTTTAAATTTTGTTTTAAGGGATCTGGTTGGACATAAAGTGAACTTAAAGATGGTGAAAGAGAATCCTCTGTGTAGAATCTAGAAGATGTCGAAAGAGAATCTAGAAGAATTCAAAAAAATAAATTTTTTTATTTTTTTCCTTAAACCTTTTATTACATGAGGTAGAGGTAGAGAGATATATTCCTTGTGTTGGAAGCCGGGACAAACCTGTTTATAGAGGGGAGCCGGGACAAACCTGTTTATAGAGGGGGGCCGGGACAAACCTGTTTATAGAGGGGGGCCGGGACAAACCTGTTTATGGATTTCAATTTCTGACAACTTGACAAGCCTTTTTTCGCTTTACGTATTTTAGTGCTGCTAAAAGGAGACATGACTTTTTTACAATTTAATTGTCTCTCCCAATTTTAAAGATATCCTTGAATTTTATCTAAAAATTGATGCTTTCTAATTACGATTGTTTATGAGCGTCGAACCAAAAAATCTTAAACAAAAAACATCCTATAATTTGATCAAGGTTCAACAGAACTGGTTTAAAGCAGGCATGTTTGGCTTTGAATCAAGGAACACTTTAAAATACGGAAATTGTTCTTAAGTTCACAAACACGCATGGTTTTCAAAAAGATAAAATAATTATATTGACCGCCATTTTTAATTTTTATGAAAATTGCACATTATTAACATGCCATGGAATTCTGTGTAAACAATTTTGTGAACTTTTTTAGAAACATGTCTCGCTCTGATATATAAATCAGGCCCGTAACTACAAGTTTTTGTAGGGGTGGGATGGGCAGTTAAGCCTTAAAATAGATCTTACAGGAAGGTGGCCCTTCTAGTTATGGCCCTGGTAGAAATAGAATAAAGAAGACCATTTATTATGCACAAATAAAAATTTCTACGTTTTTGCAATCAAGATTTAATGTTTTCCAACTGAATATTGACAAATAAAAACGGTTTGTTTTGTTGTAATCTAATCTTGGATTAGGCTTGTAGGACTTCGTATTAAATTTCATAAAAACAAAATAATCTTAGAATTTAAATTCAATACAGATATAAAGGGGAAATGCAGGGTTACCAACAAAGGATAAGAAATGTTGATCTGAAGCTCTAATAGCTTAAAATAAGTAATAAAATTCTCTCTTATATGAAAACAACTTCGAATACACTTAATTATCGTTTAGCGTAGTCTACCTAATACACAGTTTTCTGGTTCTCACTGTTCATTGACTTTTTTAAACATCATGGATTCTCGTGTTTTTATTTGATGATTCTAAAACCTTATCAGAGGAGACTGTATTTGGTTTGGTTTGGTTTGGTTTGGTTTGGTTTGATTTGTTTTTTTGCTTTTAGTTTTAAAATATTTAAATTTCAAGCAAAGAGCAAGAATGAACTATACTCAGTAAGAAACAGTAAGCTAATACAATTTTCAATTTAATTCAAACTGTCGTATTGAATTAAATTAAATTAAATTAAATGGAATAAGTTTCACATTTCCTTCTGTTTTTAAGAAGAGAAAATGCGAAATAAAAACTTAAAGGGACTGTAAGCGATATTTCAAGTGACCCTCCAGGCAAAGATAGCAATGTCCGATTCCCAACGGTACCATGAAACCTTGATCAATAATGTGGAAGATATTGTTGTTTATCTAGGTCTAAAAGAGCTCATTTCTGATAATTTCGTTAGGGTTTCCTGTAATATAGAAATGCACAAGATACTGTTGTCGACTTGAAAAAACTAGAAATGAATAAAATCAGTGATTAAACTTATAAACATCTAATTCATACTTGATCAGAAAAACCTTTTAAGGAAACCATCATAAATCTGACAATAATGCCATTTATGGATGGCGGGTCACTTTTAATTACAGTCTTTTTAAAGCAGAAGAATTAGAAAGTAAGTCCTGAAAGATGAACAAACATTTTATGTTTTATGTAAATCCATTTACACAGTCCACAGTAAACTTGAGGTCCTTATCTTAACTCATATTCATTATTCACCTGCACTAAATGTAGTTTTTTCGTAATTTTTCCTTTTTTTAAGGGTATGAATTTCAAATAAATACTGACTCTTTAAGATTCTTTTGACGAAATTTGAATGAGAGATGAAAATATTGCAATACAGGAAGGAATTGGATGCACTTAGTTGTAGTTAGATTTACGTGTGTCGGATATATGTCTTTGAAAAAAGTGAAATAAATCCAGCTAACTCGGATTCATTTTGTTTAATTGGAAATAGATATTCTTTGATTTAGAGGTCAAAACAACACAGCTGATTGTAAATTTTTCTGTTTAAATCCGTGTGGCACATTTCTAATATTTTTTATTAAAAGTGATTTTTATTACTATCATGAAGATTCGATTGCAAAAATCAAAGACTATTTTTAAAAATGTCATTCAAATGCAACTGACACAAACAATAACAAAAAATAGATTTAGAAAAAATTATAACATTATTTAAAAAAATATCAGTAGAGATATCTCACATGATAATGTAAACAGCGATTTAAAATGCAGAAAAAAACTGATTTTTTACCAACATTCTACAATATATATTATGATTAATGAGTAATGACTATATTTCGTACTTTCATTTTTTCTTAAAAAGTATGGCATTGGACTAGGGTTTCCAGCGAACGAAAATTTTTGCGAATAAATGCGAAATTTGAAATTTTGTGAAATTTCGCATTAAAAAAATTCCGCGAAAACCATAACTGCAACAATTAATGCGCAATAAACTTGTGGAATTCTCTGCTTTGAGAGCTCAATATTAGAATTGTTTTATTATATAATAATTAAATATTTCTCTTCTGTATTTTTTTAGCAAAATTTTCGCATTTTTTCCCTCTGAAATTATCGCATTTCCCTCAGAGTTATTTTCCAAAAGATGCATGCAAGTCTCGTTATAATGGAGAAACAACAATAAAAAATTTTCAATTTTCACCTAGAAAAAAGAAGAACCATCATCTTATTTCCTCAGTCGAAGATTTAGGAAGTGCCGTTGTGAATTTGGCCCTCTTTAGCGAATCACTTGAATTATAAAATGGAGTCCCTTAAAAGTCTTATGGTTTGTGGGTAACCCTGTATATAATTATAAAATGAAGTCCCGGTAACCCTGTATGTAATTATAAAATGGAGTCCCCTAAAAGTCTCATGGTTTGTGGGTAACCCTGTATATAATTATAAAATGAAGTCCCCTAAAAGTCTCATGGTTTGTGGGTAACCCTGTATATAATTATAAAATGGAGTCCCTAAAAAGTCTCATGGTTTGTGGGTAACCCTGTATATAATTATAAAATGAAGTCCCCTAAAAGTCTTATGGTTTGTGGGTAACCCAATATATAATTATAAAATGGAGTCCCCTAAAAGTCTTATGGTTTGTGGGTAACCCTGTATATAATTATAAAATGGAGTCCCCTAAAAGTCTCATGGTTTGTGGGTAACCCTGTATATAATTATAAAATGAAGTCCCTTAAAAGTCT